TGGTTTTCTTGATTGAGTCTGTCATTTCCGCGGTTTTGAAAACTGAAAATGGAGGAAATTCGAATTATCGATTGGAATGATCTCTCTCTACTTGGACATGGAGGCAATGGAGTTGTTTTATTGGTCAAAGGATTTCAGCCGTGAGTCAGCGTCTTAGCGTTTAAAATTTACAGCTTCTCAGCGTTTAAAATTTATAACCTTTAGGAAATCAGTTGCAAAATTGATAACGACAACAACAAGAGCTGGTAGAGAGAAGCTAGCAAAAGAGGCGGCATCGCTGAAAAAATTGCGCAATGATTATATCGTGAGATATGTTGGAGAAGCAAAGATCGAGGGTGGAGGTGTTTACACTGAAGGAATATTGATGGAATACTGTGAAAGGGGGATCACTCTACGAATGTAAGTAAGACAAAATGCTTTCCCATTTCAAAAATTTAGTAATTCATAGCCCGGAAATTGTTTACTCCATCAAAACAGTGATTTGGTGGGCTGAGCACATGATCAAAGCGTTGGAGTACTTGCAAACAAAAAACATGGTGCATAGGGATATCAAGCCGGCAAAGTTGGACAATTTACAATCACTGACAATACCGAACAATCAATTTCAGTGTTTTGGTGACCCAGGCCTTCTGGCTGAAATTGGCTGATTTTGGGGAGATAAAGGAGATCCAAAAAACTTGCTCAACTTTTACCGATGTTGGGACGCGACGCTATATGAGTCCGGAGCAAACGAGGACCACCGATGTGATAAAGGTTTACATTTCGGAAACATTAATCATTGTAACTATTCAGCTCAATCACAAAAGTGACATTTACAGCATGGGATTAGTGCTTTGGGAGCTGATAGAGAGAAGGTGAAATTAATTGATCAAAAAGTTTAAGCTTAAATCTGATTGTTAGAAAAGTTTTCTCAAAATATGGAAAAGAAGATCTCTACAGCATAAATCCTAACGCCACTCAATTGATCGACCTGGAAAGTTTTGATTGCACTCACGAGATCAGACAAGTTGTTGAAAGGTCAGTCAGTAAATTCTGTCACTATCCAGATTTAGACTAGAATTTTGTCTCCTAGTTTTACTGTCTTACTGTAAATTCAATTGGTTGCCTGCTTGCCATTATTGTTTTTTTTTCAGATGTACAGCGTTTGACATGAATAAGCGGCCCTATGCACGCGAGTTGAAGGCATTACTCCCCAAAAAGGTTTCATTCCAAATCCAAATAAAAAATGACACCTGCAATTGTTAGGAAACGATTACATTGAAGATGAAGCCAGAAGAAGATGAAAAAGAAACCCGCTTGATTAGACCGATTGGCTTTGATGGGACAAAGAATCGGGTCTACATTGAGGGCAGCGGTTACCTCACTCCTCCACCCATACCCACCAGTTCAGCCTCACAATCAGTGGCAGCTCACTCTAGAAAAAGTCCTACTACTTCAAATAGTGGCTTGAAAGCAGTTACAAGTTTGTGTATTGAGTTTTACGATCATAAGGCCAAGTTTTAGGTATACCACTCAAAAAGGAGACAAAGTTTCACGGTAACTCAAATCCACTTGACTTTGCTTCACTAAGATCAGAACTAATGGCACGTGATTATATCAAAATTTTGAGCTTTTTAAATTCTAGGAAATAGTTAAAGAAAGTCAACCAACAAGCTCTGTCAACAGTGAAAATGGAGAAGAAGTAAAAAAGAGAGGACGCCCGCCAGGATCAAAAAACAAAACTGGATCGCAAGTGAGTACTTGGAAATTTGAAGACAATTTGCAATGCTAAAACTAAAAGAAGAGTACATGTTAAACTTTATTATGGTTTAGGTAAAGAAAAACTCTACGGGCACCACGATTGCCAAAAAGCCAAGTTCCGCCTCACTCTTCGACTGATCTCTCAACAGTTTTTCAAATTCAAAAATTTTTTAGTCTTGACTGTTTAATTCACAAATTACAATTGAGTGCCCTATTTATTATCAAAATTGTCCCCATTTTTAAATTTGTGAAATCATCACATGTAGTCTTGGAGAAGGAGGCATGATCATATATTAGGTTTGCAACTTTCAAAATTCCGCTTACTTTTTTTATGATTTTTTTTTGAACTTCAAAAGAGCTCTCGTTCCGCTTTTGGCATAAAAACAAACTACAATATTTTTACATAAACAATCTTTTCTTTTCGAAATTTCCTCGTTCTTTTTTTGATACTTAAATGAAAGATGAAAATTTTTTGATTCGGCCTGCATTCCTTTACGCTTTTAAACAAAATCTGCGGCTGAATCGCATCGTAAAATTATTTCTGTTTTTGGAGAAGAAAATATTAGCGATAGATGATGCCGTGCATGGTTTCAACGTTTCCAAAGCGTTTCGAAAGCGACAATCAATGTCTCCGGGATGAGCCGCGCGGAAAGCATCCTCAAGAAGTGTCAATTTGTTGGTGGAATTCGAAAATGAGCCAACACTCACTACTCGAGAGTTAGTGGAATTATTTAATATTTCCCATACTGCAATTGAAAACCATTTGCATCAACTTGAAAAGAAAAATCGAGCGGGAAAATGGGCTCGACATGAACTCTCCCAAAGCAAAAGGCTTGTGTAAGTGTGAGCTCATTCTTACTCCAAAAGTATAAGTCAAAGGATTTTTTTAATAGAATTTTGACTTCTGATGGATTTCTGATGGATTTGAGAAGTTTAAACGAAAAAACTAGTCGCTTTCTCCAAATCAAGAGCTGAAAACGATTCCCAAACTAGATATTCATGGAAAGAAGATCATACTCTGTTGTTGGGGAAATGCAAAAGCTTTGGTGCACTACGAAATCCTAAAACCTGGAGAAACAGCTGATGCCAAACCTTATTCAAAACAATCGGTTCAAGTTAACGAGGCTTTAAAGAAATTGGGGCTCTAACCTTCAAGACTCCGATTGCCCCACGAGGCAAACCAATTTCAATTCGAGAAAATTTTATTTTTAAATTATAAAGCCTAGCAGTACAAGTAAGAGGTAATAAGAAAATTTTCTGGAATCAGAGTTGACTGGAGAGACCGTTGGTGTTTTCGGCTTGTTCTCGACCTTCTCAACATAGACACGAAGCGAGACTCCTTCGTCAATATTCTCAGGTGGATTCACCGGTGTCCATTTGATCTGCAAAATTCTTTAGATATAACTTAATTGTATATTTAAGAATACAAATTTTAACCAAATATTTCCGTTACTCTTTTAACCATGCTCAGAACAAACGGGCACGGTTAGCAAAAAGTATCGAAACCATCTTCTTACCCAAATCATTTGGGCGTGAGGATTTGATCTATTGATTGGTGTGCTGATTGACTCCGTTATCCTGAAAAACTACATTATTGTCAAAGCTATTGATATTACTCTTCTGTCGAGAATATTTGTCCTTCCTTGTCCATATAAGAAATATTGAGGCAGCCGGATGGAGTTAAACGGATAATTTCGATTACAAAGATCACTGGCCACGAATCTTAAAAAGTATAAAAACTAAGAGAATAATGTGCAAGTTTTGTCCGTGAGTGAGTGAGTTGTGTCTATGTCCTTTCACTTGATTTAAATACTTTTATATGCTCTTTGATTAGACAAAAGATACGTAGCTGACTCGCTAAATAGCTACCATTCAAACACTTAACAAATAGTACAAATACAGTGGTCCACAAAAGTAATGCCCCATTGCCATCCAACAGTATGTTTTGTAAGGAAATCTTGCAAAATCGACATTTCAGAAAAAGAGGAGGGTATTTTTACCGACCCATAAGACTCGACTTTTCAAGAATATAAGATTTATCCGTATACATTACATACAAATTAAATTATAAAACAAAAACAATAAGCTACTTGAAAATTAGCTCCACAAAAGTAATGCCCCATTTGCAAAGAATTAACACAATTTTTAAAAATCAATACTCGGTTGGTCCTCCTTTTGCTTTTATTACTTCATTGAGTCGATTCGGCATGGAATCCACGAGATTCTTCAAAAGACTTTGGGGGATAGTGGCCCAGAGACGTTGAATGTGAACCCATAAGGCAGCCTTCGAATCGAATTTCTTTCCCTTGAGTCGTGACTTCACAAATGACCAGAGATGCTCGCTAACATTGATATCCGGTGAGTAGGGAGGCGGATTGATCGATTTGACTCGACTTGCCGCAAACCAGCCCGGAAGTCGTGCTCGTGTACCATTTTGAAGAGTCACCACAGTTCCCATCAAGAGCCTTGACTTGTGTTTCGGGTCGTTGTCCTGGTAGAGCATCCATCCAGGAGGCATGGTTTGAGTTGCAAAAGGAAGCATTTGAGTCTCCATAATGTTCTTGTAGGCCACAGCATCCATCGTTGAGTTGACGTCAACTAATGGACCTACTGAAGTTCGTGACATCGCTCCTAAAGAAAAAAAGTCAGGTGACAAAATACTAAAAAGGCTCTTACCCCAACACATTATGTTGCCTCCATTGAATTTCACCGTAGGCCGAATGTACTTGAGTGTGTATCGCTTTCAAGTCGGCTGCCCAATAAGATGGTTTCCGTCCGCGTGAAATAAATTGACTTTTGTCTCATCGGTAAAACAGCACTTTCGCCCAATCACTTATTGTCCAACTTCGGTAGATCCGTGCAAAATCAAGGCGCTGCTTCCGGTGCTTAGAATTCATCAGAGGTTTACGGGCAGCCCTTCTTGCATATAATCCAGCTTGATTTAATCTTCGTCTGATCGTTTCCGGCGATACAACCTTGTTAAATTGATCCCTCATCATTTGGCTTCCATCAGTTGATGTTTTGTTCGGATCGTTTTTCACCATTTGGATCACGGCTCGATCTTCTTTTATGGTTGTGATTGCTCGTCGGCCACTCTTGAGGCCTCGATGAAGGTTTTTGCCGGCTTTTGATTGAGAAAAATGCGGCGCACTGTCCATATCGAGCAGTTGAAGAGGTTGGCCACATCCTGCTCCCGCATCCCATTTTCCCGGGCCTTAGCAATTTGGAGCTTCTTCGGAGTGTCAAGATTTTTTATGTCAGGGATCTAAATAATACAATAGAATACGTTTAATGTTCATAGAAGGAGAAACAAAAAGAATAATCATGAAAACGATCAATGGGGCATTACTTTTGTGGAGCTAATTTTAGGGGTAATTGCACTCTTCCACCTCGATCTTTTGATTGAAAGGATCTCAATCAAAAAATTCTGTTATTTAACAACTAGAATTTCTAGAGTATTTTATAAGAGAAAAAAATATCCCTGAAATACATGTTTTCAGGAGGAATTTTGCAAAAAATACTTTTGAATGGCAATGGAGCATTACTTTTGTGGACCACTGTATAACAAACAATAACAAATCGTACAATAACGGTTTTTACAAAGATAAAACACTTGATTCACAGTAAGAACAGAAGATTGACAGCATGAAGAAACGCTGAAATGAATGGCGAAAAGATTCCTTTTATATGTTCTTTGATTGGACGAAAAATTCGTGATTGACTCGCTGAATCGCCACCCTTTGGCATTCAACTATCAACTTGAGTGAGGTGCGGGAAAGTTCACACAAAAAGTTCATTACATTTGATATTTGTACAGTGCACTTATTGACATTCATTAAATACAATAAAATTAGAACCCGATTAAACTCACCACAATAGATTGTTCTCGAGAGAAAGTATCCCTCTTCGATTTCCCGTCCATAACCAGCAAAATGACGACTGATAAATGCGTGAATACCGGAACAAATTCTTTGCCTCTTCGTCGTATCATTGCCTAATCAAAATTTTTCATTTCCTTACTCAATCTTTTCTTACCTTGGATTAAGTCACGATTTGATCGGAAGAAAATCGTCGGCGCACAATTCGGTGGTATAAAGACACTGAAGATACTTGCGTCTAGATATTGTTCGTAAAAAGGTTCTTCGTCTCTAAAGGGATGGATTGCTAGTTTTTGTTACCACACTCACCTAAATGTAAGCAATCTTCTGTTTTCAGTCGTAGGCGTTAACTTATTTGGAGCTGCTCCATACCAAAACTCATAGGAACAATTTTTATCGTTGTGTTCCTACGAAAACTTTCTTTTTTCGCACTTTAGTTGCATTAAAAGCTCATTAAAAGCTCATTAAAATGACTCACCGAATGTAATTTCTCCAATATTGTAAACCAGGTTTCTTCGGCATTTAGGGAAAAACCGATCCAAAGGGGTTTCTCTGATGGCTCAACGATCATTGGAAGGAGATAGTCAACATTTGGATTCTCATTTAGTGTCTCCAACATTGCCCAACGAAAATCGACATTAGCTGAAGTTTACATTTAGTATTGGGACAAAGATCAGGCTGAGGAGCGCATTTAAAGTACGCTTCTGCCTACAAAACAAAAATAAACATTAATTCTGCTTGATATTGATAATAAAAATGTTGAATTGATCAAGGTATGTATATTAATAATTCAAATATAAATTTTAAAGTTATAGAAATAGCATTCAAAAATTTAATATGATTATTTCACTTATTCATAGAGAAAGCTTACGATCAATCCACTTCAACGGTCGGATAGCTAGAAGTAATGGAAAGTCATTTTGTGCCGCGAACGTGATGATGACTAGCGGAAATTTTACTTGCATCTGACAATGTTGGATAATGCGGTTCGTTTGTTTTAGAGTGCTAAAAGATCTGAGTTAGAACAGATCAAAGTTGCTACCTTTTCGTGCAATTTGCTTCATCTAACGTAGAACGTCGATTATTGAAATAAAACGGAAGCAAAGTTTGACATTGCGATGAATACTAAATACGCTTACAATTGGTATAGAATGGCCCATAATATCTTGTCTCGTTTCAAAAGGACATGGCAAGTGCTTGCCTTTTCCTAGTTAGTGCCAGTTTCCTAATTTTCGATTTAATTGTATGTAAAATGCTCAGAAAACTTACTTTATATGCATGCTCGTTGTCCTTCTCGCAATATTGCACAATATCCATCAGTAAATCATCTTGACAATGTCTCGGGTCGGTCGAGTTTTGGCAATCTTCCGTGGTCACACAAACTCTCGTGTGTTTTCTAACTAAAGAAAGTTGCAAACTATCTAACGTGTTTTCCAGCTTTCTAGATCTCATGGGACTGCGGAACCTTAAGGGCATATTTACCTAAATCGTCAATAAGTCTCCCATCAAGAAGACCCATGGGCCCCATTTCTCGAAGTGTAATGTTGAACGTCCCCGCAGTGCAAAACACGTTCCCCCTTGCTGTTTGACCAGCAGGGCTTGCGTCGGCGACAAAACCGTGTATTTGACTCGGATCATCGGGACACCAATTGAACTGAATTTCTTTGATTCATCGAAATTTTCTTATCAGACAAGACAAATTAATTAAGTTAACAGCATGACGGAGCCGTGCCGCTAAAATTAAGACTGTGGCAGACTGGTACTCTAGGTGTGCAGGGCTATATTCAAATTTTTTCCATATATCCATATATAAATTTTGCAAGTTGCAAGTTTACAATGCAAATTGCCATAGTTCACTAACGAGGCTCAATTTGGCGTTATGGGGTTCTGAAATATCCGGTCACTAACGAGATAATCACTATCGAGATTTTTGCTAACGTATTTTACAAGGTGAGGGTAAAAAAAGAGGCCGTAGGCCGGTTTTGAAGGCTGGTGTTAATAAAAATGGTTCAATCTGTTCTCATATCGTAATTTACTCTTCTCATTATGAATTCTTCCAGAATGACGCTGAAAGTAATGGACAAAAAATGTTAAGCAAGATTAGTTGTTTGCAAGTTGAACGATTTTAGGAAATGTTAGCCGAGAGAAACACTGTTAATTTAGGGGTAAATAAATTTAAGTGGCTTTTTAAGGAAGAATCAGAACTTGCCTCGATAGATGTCCCCAAAATTTCGAATTCAGCTCTATCGGTAAGCTGAAAATAAACATCAACCAATAAAAAAGAAGTGAAAAAAGGAGTTGCATGTATAACAACAATCATTTTGAAACATTTTTGGTACCTCGTGATGACCCTGAGGGTTTGGTTGATCATTTCGATCAAAACTATCCACAATAAGCGTCCCACCTTCCAACAAATCAACAATTACTACAATGTAGATGTTGTCAAATTGGCGAGCAAACTAAATAAACTGCTCAATCATAAACTTATGAAGTCAAAAATTTGACATTATTACAAATTATTACAAGCAAAAGACAAGAGCCTGAGCTTTGCCTTCAAAAGCAAAGCTCAGGCTCTTGTCTTGTCTCGCAATTTTCTTTAACTAGTGTAAATAAATTTTTTTTACTTCCTCTACGTGCTTGTATCGTAGTTTTAAACAATCCGGATACTGTGTCGAGTTTTCAAAAACCCATGGATATCCATAACTGTTTACAGTGAGTCTCGAAAAACTATCTGTAGTATCCGATTCAAAGAGCAGCGGTGTTTCCTCTAAAGTATAGCTTTGTCCATTTAAATAGCATTGAAATGATTTAAGAAATAGAGTACCGATAAATTTTTATATAGTTTATAGTTTCTTTGAAAAATCTTCTCTCACTTTCCGTTGTCATTTGAAAAAGCAAGCAAAAAGCGCAATCCGCATTTGTACCATCGATGAGGGATGATCTTACCGAAGTGACTTTTGCTCGTGAATGAACGTAAGTACCGCCGCTGAAAATCGTTTGACAAGATTCTTTGCAATAGATTTCTGCTGCTTCAAATAATTTCAAATGTTCAAAACCAAAAAAATCATATTATAAGGGTTTACACTCACCTTATAACCAGAAACCCTTCATACCAAATATCATGAATGTATTTCAAGCCTAGTGCCGATCCAAAGTTCATTGTGAAAAGCGGATATCCTTTACAAGTGATGTCTGTCTGAGATAGGAAATTTTTGCATAGCATTTGAGAAGTAAAAACCTACCATGTACTGATGGCACAAATGCTGTTCTCCTTCTTCAATGGTTGGCGCAAAGCGGATGAAGGGTCCATCTGTTATACTGAAAAGTGCTTTGGTTAAGAAGATTTATTTGAAAAGTGATTTCGTTAAGGTTCATTTGCAGCAAAAAGTTTACCGTTTTTATTAAAGATTTGGGTTTTTTCTTTGGTTGTAAAGTGTTAACTGTTTTCAGCTATCTACATTCAGACAACTTACTTATCAAAAGCGACCGGATGTGCCACTAGAGTAGCGGTTGTATTGGCTGGTATGAGCAACTCGTGGATTTTGCCGTCAGGGCTCATTGGTATGACAAGAACGGGTTTACCTGAGGGAATGTTCAAGCTTAAGGCAGAAAATTGGAAGCATTTTCATCTTTGTTAATAGAAAAATTAATTTTGAAACTTTCAGTAAAGTCTTGAAAAAAAAATTGATTACCATCAACCCATTCGGCAACTCGAAAAGATATTGCAAACTCAAGACTTCTGTCGTTTGATTCATTCGTATCATTTGACGCGAATCGAACCAAAATCGTGTCTGTTTTTAACTCGAAATGACACACGAAGAGAGCAAATTCAAAGTTGGCGCCAGTCGGACTAAAAAGAGAATTCTTTCTTTAGGATTGGATGTTGGTCTAAAATGTTATTTTTGTTCAAAATTGAAGACATAAAATCTCTGCATTTGTCAATGTAAGCACAGTATCAAAAACAAAAACTTTTTGACTCACATAGCCTTATCGCATTGATAATAATCTGGCCTCAAATCATTGACAAAAAACGGAAGTGGATCTGCACACACTGGAATCCGTCCGCCAGCTCCAACCCAAAAGTATTAGGCGTAAATAAATGATTGGTTGTAACTAGAGATACATAACAGTGAAACGATCTTAGCGACGCGTTTCCAATGTAACGAAAACTGCAAAATTTCAGCGAAACTGTAATAGTTTAGAGATTTCACCCGATTCCTCCCAATAGGCCTTAATTTATCCGATTTATTTTTTGTTTCTGTCCCCACATCAATAGTTTAACTTCAACGGGTGAACAGATATCGATCATTTTGTAGAAAAATTAATTTCTTAACGCTAATTAACGGTAATTGACAGAAATTGTAACGAAAACTGTAACATTTCAGCAAATATTTCAGCACAAATTCCCTCACTAGTTGACTTTTAAGTTCTCGAATGAACTCTCATATGATGGTAATATTGTAAGAGTGCAGAGTTTTCGATCATTTTTGAGGGCTCTTAAATGACCATTTACCGTTAAGCATCTCTAGTTGTAATAGTATAACATATGGCATTAAGTTTTCTGTTCCTTTGTAAAAAAAAGTCTACCCCTTCACCCGGCTCAGGCGGCACGCTACAGTTGAACCTTGAATAGTCGATCAAAAACATCGCATCTTTCGGTCCTTTGAGTTCAATTGGCTGAAAAAACTCTTTTCTCACAAATTTTCTTCGAGAACTTTATGATTCCGCAGGTCAATTCGTATCTAAATTCAATGAACTGGATCAACAACATGCAAGTGTAATAGTAGTTTTTGTTGGCTCAGGTTCGTTGCACAAGCAAATCTCTAGTTGTAAATAAATCGACCTGCGGACCAGTCCGATAACAAGCTTTTACAGAAATATTCAATTTACAAGTATACAAGCATAAAAAATTATTCAATTGCTATAAGCATTTAGCCATTTCATGGTTTCAATCACTTCTTTTGCCAACTCCCATCCATGAACGGCAAATGACGGGCTCTCTTCGGTTAATTGAATGCTTCTCCCATACAGTCGACCAAAAAATAGCCAGAGCAATGAGAAAATTTGATAGGCGAGTCCAAGCGGCATAGCAGAAAGTTTTGGTCCACTAATAAGCTAATTTGTTGAAAGTGCAAGTATAACTGTTAGATCACTGGCAAGCGGGTTCTAAATAATGATTTATCAAGCTAGATCAAGGCTTAATTTTATTCATTTTGACTATTCAAACAGAGGATAGCCTGAAAATATAAGAAAAACATTCATGAAAACAAAAATAGTCAAAAGAAACTTGCTATCAGTTACCATGAGGTAGGGCGGGCTTTGGGTGCCCTTAGTTTTTTATCATTTTCTTTTTTAAGCCACGTTGGCGGATCACTGATAGTGTCAGTCAAGTTTTTTAAGGTTCAACTTTCAAAGATTTTTTAAATATGAGGGTCGAGTTTGATCAATTGATTTTGAGACATGACTTCTCTCGTTAAAAGTTTCATTGTTACAGTTGTTATTGTGATTACAGTAATATCATTGTGGATGAGTTCAAAGAGAAGCAAAATAAAAGAAGAAAAATGGTAAATAGGGTGAAACACTTGTGCCTGGCATTGTCATAGTTGGTGATCTTAGTGTGGCTCTAGCTTTTCAACATAAGCACGAAGCAAGACTCTTTCAATGGTACTATTTGGTGGACTCGTCGGTGTCCAGCTGATTTGAAAAATTTGACAGAAAATCTGACTATCCTTTTTTAACGCTGAAGCTATCGATATACTTTGCTTTATCAAACAATCTAGACTATTCTTTCTTGCTCAAATTTTTCTTGCGGCTGGATAAGTAATATTAAGTGGCTTGTCAATTGAACCCTTAAACCTGAATCAATATCTTATTTATGAGTTTCACTATTACAGTCGTTGTTGTGATTAGAGTAATTGCTTTAAACGTTTAATGCAAAATCTAAATCACTTTTTTCAACCTAAAAACATATTCTTAACTCATAGGCAAAAAGAAACATGCAAAAAGCGTTGTTTGAGCTCTCATTTTGACGTTTTCTCACTCTTCAAGACAAAATCGCCGGATAATGATCGATTTAGTGCCGACTCATTGCTACTGACAGCAAGTTTTTTTTTAAGGAACTACTTTTTGCAACAAAGACTAATGGTCTTCATTTGCTCACAAACTATTCTAACTATAAGGTGTTGCTAAACTCGAAAAGTTTAGTTCAATGTGTTTCAAGTAAAGTTCAAAGGCATTTTAGCTCATTCTGTTTGAGAAACTTTTATTTCAAACTACAAAATAATAATAAAAGTAAGAGGCAATAGGGAAAATTTATAGAATCAGCCTTCACGGGAGTAATTGTTGGTGATTTCAGCATGTTGCAGACCTTCTCGAGATAAACACGAAGCAAAACTCCTCTCCTTGGTATTTGCGGGTGAATCCGACGGTGTCCAGCTAATCTGCAAAAACTAATGATTCCCTATTTCTTAGAAAAAGAGAACAAGAATTGGAAAACAATGTTTGATCTTTTAAGAAATTTTTTATCAGAGCTGTGAGTCAGACTTGTAGTTTTGAAGAGGTTTTTGAAGAGGTTAGGGCACAATATGCGGATAACGGTCGATTTAAGGCCGACTCGTCGATGCTGATAGGAAGTTTTTTGAGAAACTTCGGCGTCGAACAGAAACAAATATTTCTTTTCTCAAAAAACTACAAACTAGTGTGGTTAAAATTGAGAAATTTAGTTAGAGGTGTTTCAGACGGTTAGAATTTGCAATATTCTTTGCAAAAGCCTAGCCAGTATTATTAAAGCCGTTTTTGGAAATTATCTGAATTCGTTTGATGTTATTCAGATTCCGCGATAGTTCAAACGCACTTCAGACCAATGTTCTTATAGAAATTGTATTTCAAACTACAAACGCTATTAATAAAAGTAAGAGAAAATAAGGAAAATTCATAGAATCAGCCTTCACGGGAGTAATTGTTGGTGATTTCAGCATGTTGCAGACCTTCTCGAGATAAACACGAAGCAAGACTTCTTCGTTATTATTTACAGGTGGATTCGACGATTTCCAGTTAATCGGTAAAGTATTTTTCTTCTAAAAATCAAAAATCTTCCATATCAAGTATTTTTCTTATGAAAATAGTCGATAAATTACTGTTATCATTTACTTTTTTGCTGAGGTCTCGTTAAACTTCACTACTTTACTTGTTAAATAAGTTGACTTCTAACAACTCCAGTCTTTCTTACCAAAATAATTGTGGTTCTAGGGTCAGACACATAGCGTGATTGGCCAATTGATTCCGTAAATCTAACTTACTGAATTATTTGCTAATATACAACCGCAAAGACTCTTCTCTTCTGAACACTTCTCCTTCACTACCGGTGAAAGAAATATTGAGGAGACCGGGAGTTATTAAACGAACAATTTCGATTGTGAGATATTCACAATCGAGATTGTTCGTTTAATCTCTCCTGGCCACTGGCCACGAGTCTAAAAGGTTAATTTAACACATTCGCGACGACCTGACCCACCGGTGGGTCAGCTCAAAATTTAAAAAATGGGTAGATTAAGCTGAAAATTTGTATACGCGGGTTTTCGGGGTCGGGGAATTCCAATCCAGTATTAGTTTTTGGCTACAGTGTACTCGAAATAGGAGTACTCGTTACGGCCATTTTGAGCCGAACCTCGATATTAAAGAAACTTTTTCCTACTTGACCGATTTTGGTGCTTTTGATATCAATAATAATCAAGAAAAAGGATATCAAAAGAACCCTGATATCTCTTCTAATAAAAAGTGAAGAGAGATCGCAAAAACGTTGGAAAATCGCAAAATTATTAAATTTCTTGTAAAAAAAATCCAGGTTATTTCGAAAAGTTTGAAAAATGCCGGAGGGCGCGTCGCCAAAATGAAAATTTTTATTTTTACGTAATCGCGTAGGCTTCTGACACAGGGTTTTGCGATATATTCACTATAAACGTAAAAGATTTTTCGTAATTTTGATCACTTTCGGTTGAATTACCCCGCTTTGCTTTAGCAACATAAAATGTAGTGTTTCGGTAGGTATTTCGATTTTCCGTAGATATTTCGCGTAAGTATTTCGGTTGCATTTGGGTTTCCCACCCCGGAAAACCACCGGGTGCACGTTTTGAGCTTCTTCTAAACTATTTTTCAGCTAAAGTACGCGCTACTACTATTTTCGGCCTCAGGGGTTACTGTAGTTGAAAGCTAAAACCGGATTCGAGCTCCTCATCCCAAAAAACCCCAGAGCAAAAAATTTCAGATCTACCGCTAGCCTAGAACCCTGTTGTCCGGATGGACTGGATTTTGATTTTGGACTGGTTTTGGATTTTGGTTTTGATTCTGATTTTGGACTGGATTATCCAATCAAGCTCTATTTGGTATCATTTGAAAGCCTGAAATGTCCTCTATACAATGATATAAAAGTTAACAAAAATATTATCTCTGGAGAAAGTTGTAGGCCTGGAAAGAGTGGCAGCCCGTTCAAAATGCCCAGATTCTTTCAAAATATCCGGAAACTACGCAAGCGTCGAAAGTTTTGGTTCACCAATAAGCTAATTTGTTGAAAGTGCAAGTGTAACTGCTAGATCATTGGGAATCGGGTTCCAAACGGTGATTTACCAAGCTAGATCAAGGCTTAATTTTATGCATTTTGACTATTTGAAAATAGAGTATAGTCAAAGCCCGAAAAACGTGTTTTGCATTTATAAAAACAAAAAATAGTCAAAAAAACTTGTTATCAGTTACCATGACCAAGCTTTGGGCGCCCTTGGTTTTCTTGTCATTTTCGTTTTAGAAGGCACGTAAGCGGATCACAGATTATTCAGAGTCGATACATACTGATAGTGTCAGTCAGTTTTTTTTGGATTTTCAACTTTCACAGATTTTTATCAAATATGAGGGTTGAGTTTTAACAATTTTTTTTGAGGTATGACCTCTTTCGTTAAAAGTTTTACAGTTGTTATTGTGATTACAGTAATAGCATTGTGGAAGAATTGAAAGAAAAGCAAAGACAAAGAAGAAAAACAATAAAAAAGGGGGAACTTCTGTGTTTGACATTGGGGGTGATTGTGGGTGATTTTGGCATGGCACCAGCTTTCTCGACATAAACACGAAGCAAAACTCCTTCTTTGGTATTATCTGGTGGACTCGTCGGTATCCAATTGACCTGAAAAATAATTTTATGGCAATAAAAAGTGATGATCTTTCCTGCCAAAGCTGTCCGTAAACTTTACTTCACTTAGTCAAATAAACTTGTCTTAAAAGAACGAGTCTCTCTTACCGAAAGTATCCTTGCGGGTGGGTAAGAAATATTGCATGGCTTGTCAATTGAATCCGTAAACCTGAATCACTGTCTTATTGTTGTTTTAATAAAAGCTTAATTACTCTTTTGTCTCGAACACTTTTTCATCATTATCAGCGAAGGAAATATTAAGCGAGCCGGGAGGGATTAAACGAAGAATTTCGATTGTGAATATCACTGGCCACGAGTCTAAGAGGTTAATTTAATATTTGAACAATAAATGTCTTGACATTCATTAACCACAAAGCAACTAGAGCCCGATGAAATTCACCACAATAAAGTGTTCTCGAAAAAAAGTATTCCTCTTCGATCTCGCGTCCAAAACCAGCAAAATGTCGACTGATAAATGCATGAGTACCGGAACATGTTCTTTGCCACTTCGTCGTCTCATTACCTAATGAAAAAGGATGTCATCTATTATTACTCAAACTTTTCTTACCTTGAATCAAATCACGATTTGATCGAAACAAAATAGTCGGCGCGCAATTCGGTGGAATAAAAACACTGAAGATGCTTGAGTCAAGGTATTGCTCGTGAAAAGGTTCTTCGTCTCTAAATTCGATGAATTGGACTCTTTTCACCGAAACACTCACCTAAACATCAACAATTTTCTGTTTTCTTCAACCACATTTGGTCGTGTATTTGGAGCAGCTCCATACCAAAGCTCATAGGAACAATTTTTATCGTTGTGTTCCTATGAAAACTTTTTTTTTCGCACTTTAGTTGCACAGCTTTGAGCTCATTAAAATCACTCACCGAATGTAATTTCTCCAATATTGTAAACCAGGTTTCTTCGGCATTTAGGGAAAAACTGATCCAAAGGGGTTTCTCTGATGGCTCAACGATCATTGGAAGGAGGTAATCGACATTTGGATTCTCATTTAGTGTCTCCAACATTGCCCAACGAAAATCGATATACGCTAAAAATAAAATGTGTGAACATATTAGTATCGGGGGAAAGATAAACATTGTAATTAACTAAAATCTTTTGAAATACGATTTTACCGGAGAAAGCAAAGCAAACAAAAACTTTTGCAACTAAACTAGCAGCTTGCCTAGTATTCAAAAATCAGTAAAAACTTTACGATCAATCCACTTCGTTACTCGTATAGCAAAAAGCCATGCAAAGTCACTTTGCGACACGAACGATATGATTGTGAGAGGAAACTTTATTTGTAGATGACAATGTCGGATAATTCGGTTGGTTTGTTTTAGAGTGCTGGAATGGAAGAGTAATAGGAATTCTAAAAGTTAAAAAAAGACCTATTCGTACAATTTGATGGATCCAAATTAGGCTGCCTATTGTGAAGGAAAAACGGAAACCAATCTTTGCACTGCGACGAATACTAAATTAAAAAAAATGAATTGAAAGAACGCTTTTGACGTTCCATATTTACTATTGAAAATATGATAGATCAAAGTGCACTTTTAAAGCTGCTTCAAAAGCTTACCTTGTATTCGTGTTCTTTATCCTTCTCGCAATATTGCACAATATCAATCAGAATGTCGTCTTCGCAGTGTTTTGGGTCGGTTGAGTTTTGACAATCGACCGTAGTGACACAAATTCTTTTTCGCTTTAGTACTAGAAACTACCGTATTTCCTGTAATTGAACCGCAAAAGGCTCTATTTTTTTCATAACCCTTCCAGCGTGGGGTTCTATTAGAGGGATGGGGTTCAATTACAGGAAATACGGTAGACATGTATCGGTCGTTCGGAACCGGCTCGGTCGGTCGGTCGCTCGGAACCGGTTTTTGGTCTGACCAGAATCCGGAAAACGGTTCCGGTTTTGACTGATCGGGATCCAGAAAACAGTTCCGAACCGATCGATTCCGACAGGCCAGATAGATTCGGTCCGATACATGCCTACTATTAGGCTGTTCAGAAAGTCTTTTCGTTCGTTTTCATAATTCCGTTGAAAAATAACCAATTCTATAATTAACCTATGGTTTGCTCTAAATAAAAAGTGTTTATTGAACAATTTACCATCTTTTTAAGTCAATTTGGGTTTACTTTCAAGCAAATTCGAGAGTGAAAACGTGTTTTTCGAAAAAATCTAGAAAAATCTCTACGAAGAAATTGATTCAATGAATTTCTCTGAAAATTTGGCCATCTACCTAAATTTTTGTGCTCTATCTTTTATCTATTGACACCAAGATGGGTTTCCTTAGCTAAAGTGTCTAAACCGCATCATTGAGCCTTTCTTGACTACCCGACTTCACGCTTCCAAAATAATTCATCTTGAATAAGCAGACGAGTTCTTTTTCTCGTCGATTTAAAATCGAATTTTTGTTGAGTGTGTAGAGGATCAAGTTGAACAAGGCAACGCGATGATTGGAGAAAAGCAAGGATCATTCCGAGTACTCAACTAATAGATAACTGACATTGATAGGAATCAGTTTTTCTTTGAGAGAATATTGATGAAAAATAATGAAAGTCGGAAGGTATTGCTTGCTAATTTTTTCTTGAAAAATTGTGAATTTTAGACAGATTTAAATAAGCATAACTGATCTTGCAAGAATCATTTGCAAAACACACCAAAGATAATCAATTTCATTTAATTTCGATTTTCTTAATTTTAACTTTATAACATGGTCATATGTCTATTAGGCTGTCATAAATAATTGACCTTTCTAACGAAACAAACCGTAGTTCTATTGGTGCATTTGTTGGTTTTAAACAGAAGTATGAAAAGGAATGAAAAGACTTTCTGGACAGTCTAATAATCTACTCTTGTCCTGTCTGACCTAGCCTTTTTACCCTGACATATCCTCTAGAACTTTATGGTTTTCTAAATAAATATCCGGCGCATCCTTACTCAAATCATCCATCAATCTTCCATCGTAAAAAAACGTCGGATTTGTCTCTTGAAGTGTGATGTTGAATGTTGCCGCAGTGCACCATGTGGTACCTACTGCATTTTGGTGTCCTGGTTCTAGAGTAGCGATGAAACCATGTTTGTCACTTTTATCGTCGGGGGACCAATTAAACTAAATGTTTTCAGTCATTCAACATTTGCCTTATTCACAATATATCGGGTTGGTAATAGCTTTAAAGCTAAGCTTTTTACAGCTCACTGTAGCTTTGCATAGCTTTAAACTTAAAATTTCAAAAAACCAAACTACCAAGCCAAGTAGAATTTCTTTTGGTAATGCTAAAACTTACCTAGAGGTAATAATTTTAATTTTATTTTCTGGCAAAGACTTTTTGAAGTATATAGCAAAGCAAAAATCGGAAAGAATTCACGGCTTGATTTGAGAAATTGTTGTTTAAAGTTTGTTTGTGCACGTCAACCTAATATTACTCCAAATTTGCGTTTATTGAAAACTGAAAACTATTAAACTATGAAAACTAATGTTTTCCGAGCTGCTGGAAATCAATTCGAAAACAATCCAGAAGAAAAGTATAACAAGTATCCGTGTTATATGTAGACAATTTGATAGTCTACAACAGTATATAACCTTTTAACGCTCGAATATTCAAATCGTTAATAGTTTTTATGTAAATCGTGTGGCAAAACTTTGAAACACTCTCCCCGTTCATATTCGAAACTTTCCTTCATTAAGTACCTTTAGATTGCAATCTCTAAATTAAAACTGGGTGATTTATTAGGTTGGTGAATTGAAAACTGCGGGCTATTTCGCGGGACTCGCAGATAAAGAAAACAACAGCATTGAACCAGCTGAAAGGGGGTTTGCTTACTTCAACATTTCCTCAAATTATTGCGAAAAAATTATACTTCCAGTTTTTTATTTTTTGGTATTTTTCTTGACTTCTTCTATTACTACAATCTGCCACCGGGACATATTCGTCATGTCATGCTTCATGGGTTCCTACAAGAGCACAGTGCAGGCTTGGCAACTGCTAATATAAAAAAGATATATGGGGAGGACTCACCTTCCAAAAGAACGTGTCAAGTATTGTTTGCCAAGTTTGCCAATCTGGGGGCAAATCTTTGAAAGATGCAGAGGGTCGTGGAGCGGCACCCCAACTGGATGACTCCAAATTACTCAAACGCCTCGATCAGTGCCGTCCATCTCTCACAATACAAAATGAAACCTTTTCTATCTCGAATTGTGATAGGAGATGAGAAATGGGTTTTATTTGAGAACTTTCAGAGGAAGTGGCAATGGGTGGGGCCAGGCGAGAAACCCGAAAGTGACCCTAAGCCCGATTTGCACCAGAAGAAGTTTATGCTCTGCGTTTTCTGGGATATGGAGAGAGTGGTGTACTGGGAGTTGCTGGATAGCAAGACGACCGTTAATGCAATCAAATACAGTGAACAGTTGGGAAAGGTGAATGAATCCCTGAAGTAGAATAGGCCCTCCAAGTCAAAGATCGTTCTCATCCACGACAACGTGCGCCCTCATGTTGCAAAACTGACTCGCTCTAAAATCAATAGCCTTGTTTGGGAACTTTTGGCGCATTCCCCATACAGTCCGGACCTTTTGATTACTATTTAATCCGGATCATGAGTAATGAGCTTGCGGGAGAACACTTCGATTCGGAAGAAGCAGTCAAAAATTGGCTTTGAAAGTTTTTCGATTTAAAACCAAAATCCTACCCGAAAGAGGAATCCGCAAATTGCCTGTAAAATGGGCAAAAGTCGTCAATAATAATGGAAATTATTTGGAATGAATTTATGGTTTTATGTTGAATAAATTTTAGTTCAAAGTCCGGCAGTTTTCAATTCACCAACCCAATCGTTTAGGAACTTTACTGTGAGTCTAGTCGTATGCTATTTTACATTCTTTGCTTTTCTTGTGTGTATTTTTGAATCTAAAATGTCGCTATGTTTCTTCTGTGCATTTTAAATTGTTTGATTTGTTTATCACTTTATGTCATGAAGAAAGTATATTAACTAAAAACCAACCTCAATAGAGGTCCCGTAGATATTGAAGCCATAGTCCATATTCTCATCGAAGTATTCAGGTGTAATCTGAGTTACTCAATCGAATTCATGTAACCAAATAAGAAAACTGAAAACTTTCACCACAACGCACTACATTTTTTGTTCTTTAACATTTACTATTCTTCGTTATTTTTGAGATTACCTCCCAATGCTCCGATGGGATCGCTTGACCAGTTCGAAAAAAACCGTCCACAACAAGAGTTCCTCCAACTAGTACGTCAATCGTCAACAAAAATTCGATATAATCATATTGGTGCTCAAAGAATTATCTTACAATTAGGCCACATGAAAAATTGATTCTCGTGATTGTTGTTTAGCACAAAAATACACTTTAATTGTCAATTTGTGTGTTTGTCTCTGTCAATTTGTGTGTTTTGTAGAAATTTTGAAGGGTCCAACTTTGAAGGTATGATTGAGTTCGTTTGTTTATGATGGATTTGGTTTTTACTTGATCTGGATGCGAGTATCGTAGCGTTAAACAATCCGAATTCCATGGTGAATAGTCAAACGTCCATGGATAGCCATAGCTGGTCACGGAAAAGTGCGAATTATCAACTGTAGTATCTGATTCGAAAAGCAATGGAGTTTCACCTGGAACAAAGACAAATAACGATACAACGAAATAATCTCAATGATCTCTTGGCTGCCGTTTCAAACGGTGGCGATCAGGGTTTTTCCAAACTGGCCCAAAAACCCGGCCCGTCCCTTTTTTCTGGCTTTCTGACCTGGCTTTGCCCAATCTTTGGGGGCTTCTCAAAAAGTTTCATGTGGGGAGTGCATGAAAAACAACCAAAAATGACTCATGGGCTTCTAGAAGGCCTAAAATTTTGATTTTGGAACAACCCTGGAACAACAAAACAACAAGCTATGATAATTTGTACCCGGGGGACATTTAAGAGTGCTTATTCTCTCACTCTCACAACGGATCATCCAATTGTTTGCTATCAAAAGTTGTGCAATATTCAATTTCTAGAGCGAATTTATCCGTTGTAAAAAATTTTTGGAGTTCATTAATGTCATGGGTCTTTTCAATTAAAAAGGAATTCCTTTCGAAATCCGAGCATTTGTGGGTTGAAAATTGGTCTTAAAATACAAAAGAGATGGTAAGAAAAATTTACTAAGATTTTGAGATGAAATCATGCTGTAGTAAAAAATTTTAAGCCGTAAACGTAAATTTGGTTGTAGAAAAGTAGAATTTGTTTTGTATACTTTTTAATAAAAACATAGAGAAAACCGTCTTGAAGATTAGAACGCTAAAGTGCCGTTTTTCTATAGTCAAAATGGCACGTTAGCGCACTTTTCTATAGTCAAAATGGCACTTTAGCGCACTTTTCTATTTTACTCTATAACTCGACTTCCAATTACCAGATCGACTTAGGCGATTTAGATCGACTTAAAATAATCCTCTTTAAATTTGACTATAGAAAAGTAAAATTTGTTTTGTATATTCATGTGCAAAAACAGAGAAAAAGAGATCTGAAGACAGTTATGCATTTTTTTCGTGCTAAACTGCGACCAAAAGACTACAGCTCAGCATCGGACCGCTTCGTTTCACCGGCCCGTGAAACCTTTTCCCACCTGCGGTTGTCATTTGAAAAATCAAACAAAAAGCACAATCGACATCTACATCATGTGCATCGGAATCTCTACCGATTACATAGCTGGGCTTTATTGATGTCACTCTTGCTCGTGAATGCACATAATCACCACCGCTGAAACATTTGCTTGGAAAGGATTGGCCTTAGCAAAATGATATTAGTGATTTTGTTCTATTATAGTTGACATACTTTATTTCCAGGTTACCAGTATAAGCCCCTTCTGTCTTGGGTTTTAAGCCCGACGCCGATCCAAAATTCATCAAGAAAATCTGAGATTCAATACAACTGACATCTGCCTAAAGTTTTGGATCAAATTTGTGGAGCAAATAAAAATATACTCTGTAGGAGTGACACAAATGTTCTTCGCCTTCTTCAATAGTTGGAGCAAAGCGGATGAATGGACCTTCTTTCATGCTAGAAAGTGGTATTAAACAGCCTTATTGAACTAGAAACCATTGGTTTATTGTATAATTTTCTCCCAGATCAACTCACTCAAAAACATGGGGATGTGCCACCAAAGTGGCTATTGTGTTGTTCGGGATAAGCGTCGCATAGATTTTGTTATCAGCGCTCATTGGCACCACGAGAACGGAGTGGCCTGAAAATGTTGCTAATCTCTATAGACGCTTCAGAAAATAAAACACTTGGTAAATCTTCAAATTAAATTACCGTCAACCCATTTGGCGACTCGAAAAGAAAGCGCAAATTCTCGACTTGTCTCATTTGATGTCAGCTGGATAAGGAGCGTGTCGACTTTGACTTCAAAATGACAAGTGACAAGAATGAACTCGAAATTGCCACCGATTGGACTAAAGCAAAAGATGCTGGTAGATATAAAATGGCTTCTTTTGTTATGCTTAAACCAAGAAGACAAACGATCAAAAGCAAAGATCTTCTCTTTTAAACCCACCTAGCTTTAGTGCACCTATGATAATCCGGTATCCAGTTATTGATAGTGAACGGAAGAGGATCTGCACAAACTGGAACTCGTTCATCAGTTCCTGTCTAAATTACTTGATTGTACTCGAATTCATACTCGAACGGAATTCATTTTGGTCAGATCTTGCAAAAACCTCTTTATTCTGATCAGGCAGTATGGTACAGTTCAGTTTTGAGTAATCGACCAAGAAAAGAGTGTCGTTCGGTGCGTTGAGCTTGACTGGCTGAAATTTCAGTTCGACTCTATTCAATGACGAGAACTTTTTAGCTTTTTTAGCTAGATTTAGCTTTTAGCTTTTTAGCTTTAGCTACCTCGTTCGCCAATTCCCATCCATGAACGGCAAAAGATGGATTTTCTTTGGTTAATTGCAAATCTCTCACACAAAATCCATATAAAACCAGCAAGAATAAAAGTTGGATTTGAAAGGTAAATCGATGCATAACTCGATTGTTTAGTCTAAACCAAAGTTCTTTGGAAAAGGCAAAGGGAAAATGGTTTTGTCGCAAAAAAAAACTCTTAAGCGGAACGTAGTCATAAAAAAAGAAAAAACAATGAAAGAAGTATTTGAATTTTTAGAAAAACTCAACAGAAAAACTTTTCTTTAAAGCTTTTTTTTGAAAAATAAATAATAAAAACCGTCGCAGTTCTTACGTTCCTTGTTTTTTCGCATTTCAAGACAATCCGCGAAAATGGTCCGACAATCGAGATAATCCGAGGATAATGGTCGGTTTAATGCCGACTCATTGATGCTGATAGCAAGTTTTTTCGAGAAACTTCTTTTTGCAACAAAGACCAGTCGTCTTTATTTGCTCGAAAAAATATTCTAAGGTGTTGCTAGACTGTGTGTCCAATGTGTTTCAAGCATAATTCAAACGCTTTTCGAACGACGAATATAATCTGAAGATTATATTCGTCGAAACTTTTATTTCAAACTATAAAATAGTAATAAAAGTGAGAGTCAATAGGGAAATTTTATAGAATTAGCCATATATATATAGAATTGTTGGAGATTTCAGCATGTTTCGGACCTTCTCAGCATAAACACAAAGCAAAACTTCTTCATTGATATTCGCAGGTGGATCCGACGGTGTCCAGTTGATCTGCAAAAACCAATGATTCCCTGTCTCTTAGTTTTTGCTAACAGTTTTTGGAGTTTCTTTATAAGTTTTAAGCTTGTAAGCTAACAGTTTGTAAGTTTACTAGTATTGAGCACTGTGCCCAAACTTTAGTCAAACTAAAACACAAGCTCAAATAAAGAACAATAGTCAATAAAGTTAACAAGTCCAAATTAACAACTACACTCTTTCTTACCCAAATTACTATGGCTCTCGGGTAAGAAATATTGCGTCACTTGTCGATTGATCCCGTCTAACATAAAAACTTCGAGACTCTTCTGTTCTTAACACTTTTCCTTCATTGTCGATGAAAGAAATATTGAGTAAACCACGAGGAATTAAACGGAGAATTTCGATTGTGAATATCACTGGCCACGAATTCAAAAGGCCAACATGTAGGTTAAAAGGCCAACAACAAAGTAGTTTTGAATTTTTGCAGGAATTCCACCAAAAGATTGACAATGACGGATGGCCTCGATGTAGAATTCGGTTGAATTAGTAATTTCTTTACATTCAAAGATAGGAATCATTAAATAATGTCTGTTTTTATTAATTCTACTCCAAATTATGGTAAAGATTCTTTAAGTTCTTGAAACTTTGATTTCAATGTGTACAAGTCATACTTTGATTGAAGGCGAATATGCACAGGGAAAGTCATTAGAGAAATTTATTGCATTTTTAGAAATGTAGAAAATTCAAGGTTATACTGAATTAGCTTTGATTATTTGTGCTCGTTGTCACCCCACGTTATATTTTCTTCATTTTGTTCAGGATCTTGACCTCTGCTAAAAATTTAGAGTTCCTTGTTTTTATTTTTTAGACATGCACTGCGTTTCAAATTCTTAAACGCACCCTCTAAAATAGCGAATTTTGCATTTTGAACACCGCTACAACTATTAATCTTTTTCTATTAGAAAAAGCATGTCTTAAAACCTAAAAAGCACGAAAAATAAGCATACTGAAAAAAGTAAAAATTTTCAAAATAGAAACTTTTTGGTAACTCCATCGTTTTAAATTCTTAAACGCACTATGAAAATATTTTTATTTATCGACACAAATTAACAATCAAAGGTAAAAAATCAAAACTAATAATCTGTACACGCACCAGAACGATTAATTACTTGAAAAATGCAGTCTGGCATTGAATTGATGAGGTTTTGAAAAGCAAAGACGTCGAGATAGTTTCAGGCCAAACGGGTCGCTGTTTTAGGCATAAATAGACGTCTTGAAACCGACGATGATTTTTGTAGGCAGCTTGTATAAGTATTCGGCATAAATTCCCTATCGGATTGACGTCAGGAGAACGAGCGGGTCAGTCCAAAGTTGCAATGTTGTTGTTGTTCAGCCAGTCTCGGGTGTCTCCGGCTTGATGAATTGACGCGTTGTCGTATTGAAACAAATCGGGAACGGTTGGATTTAGGAACAAAAACGGCAACAAGCAATTGTTCAAGTTATCTATCTAGTCATCCGATTCGAAACCATCTTCAGAGCGACCAAAAGACTACAGCTCAGCATCGGACCACTTCGTTTCACCGGCTCATGAAACCTTTTTCCACCTGCAGTTGTCATTTGAAAAATCAAACAAAAAGCACAACCCACATCTACAGTTCGGTAGAGGTTCCCTCTATCGATTACATATCCGGGCTTTATTGATGTCACTCTTGCTCGTGAATGCACACATTATGGCTTTTCTCATAATCCGTGTGACATTTACCTGGAAATTAACAAAAATTATAATTTAATAAAAAATAGGCACAACAAAGCGAAAAATTTCAAATAACAACAGCAAAGGTGGGTGCGTTTAAGAATTTGAAATGGTTGATTTAGCAAAAATTTTTACTTTTTTCAGTATGCTTATTTTTCGTATTTTTTAGGTTTTAAGACATGCTCTTTCTAATAGAAAAAGATTAATAGTTGTAGCGGTGTTCAAAATGCAAAATTCGCTATTTTAGAGGGGCGTTTAAGAATTTGAAATGCACCGTATAACTATTAAGTCAAACATCACTTTTTTAACTGCAAAGCCATTTTGATAATAATTTGTTAGTTGAACAAATTTGCAACACTGTAATAACTGACGATAGATCAGCCTCAACTTGCAAATAGATTCTCTCTTTTCGCCCCTGAAGAAAGCGGCAGATCTGAGGCTTCGTTATCACATTTGATTTGTAATGCTTTTTCAGGAAAGCTTACTTTTAGTGATCCATGTATTTCTTTTTACCTTTGGGATCAAATGTTAGTCTACTCTGAAGGGGTGACTCATTGTTCCTCTATCGTTCTCTCGTCTTTTGTCAATCGGCTCAGAGCTAGAGTCGATAAGGCAAAATAAACTCTGCAGAATTCTAAAATCGTCCGAATACTTTCAAGTTTACTTTTTTAAATTTGCTAAAGATAATCAAAAAAATGCATAAACTTTAAGTTCAGCTTTCACTTCGATTGACGAAGCTGATAATGAGCTTGAGTTAATCTGACGTTCTCAGTTCTCTAATGAAACCACAGATAGGAGTGCTGGAAAACTCAAAGATTTAAAAATGTCTGAATCAAAACTAAAGAAAACTGTCAGAATACTTATTTCTAGACCGGAGGAGCTGTTGATACCTGTTGTCGTGTGCATGGATTCAACGATAAATTCAACGAATCAAGAAGGGATCGCTGTCTGCTACTAAATTTGACGGAAGACTGAAATTTCCTTTTGGTTCCTATTAACTACAATTTCATTTCATTTCAATAAAGTTTGGCATTCAAGACAAAACCAAATGTGATAGATAAAAACCAGCTCTAAAAGAAGCTAGAAAAGCTGTAAATTTGTTTATTCAGAGCTGACATTTGATTGTGTCTATCCAACTCTGAACTATACAAGAATTCTTGACTAGTTGGTCTTCTTTACTTGTTAAATAAATGGAAAAGATCTAAAGAGGTTGAAAGTGAAAATTGGTACTTGATAAAGAAAGACTGGAAACTTCATTTTGCTTGAAGTTCAACTTTCATCTCGAGGTTTTCTTTTGTTTCAATATATTCAGAGGTTGTAAAATTTTGTGATCAATTGCATGTTTGATGTCTCATTTCTGATGTCTCTAAACTCAGACTTAAACTAACAGAAAATTATTGAATGACTCAGACCCTTTAACCCAAAGCTTATTATTCGCCCACTCCAATTATTCTTTACTCTGGAATTTTGGGGCCGATGTTCAATCAAAAATAGAGTTTCTCCATTATCAAATCGGCTTTGCCTCGATTTATGGCACTCCCCCTTTTTCAATTTTTTGAAGAAGAGGCATGGTTTGCCAATGCCCACTTGCTGATAAAGATTTCCTTTGAATTCTCAAAGCGAATTCTCAAAAGAAAGATATGGGAAGAAACCATTCTTACAAACTCGCTAAACAATCAAACGAGAGTGATCGTCAAAAACCTTCGTTAATTAACTCTTTTTGATGACTTTCTTTGATGAATTATATCGTTTATTTTTCAACTTACTTTTTCAATGATTTGGCATCGGGTTATTAACCAACTTTAGAATGAATATGGGCTAAAAATGTGCCAATTCTGTCCAACCAATTAGTTTATCTATTGATTTCAATTCTTGTTTTATTTAAATTGAGAATAAATTGCTCAATTTCAATTTCTCAATTTCATTGCTTTCCCTATTCTTTTTCTAGGCAAACAACCGATTGAATGTTCACCTCAACGGCTTCGAAACAAACCTCCTCTTCCCAATCGACTCGATCATCGTTAACGAGTTCGAGTATTGGACAAGGAGCCACCTACAATGGAACTTCTGCTATTGGTCAAGGAGCTCGAGTGAGCTATGTTGAGTCGCCGAGAAGTCCCCGAACACCCATGCAGGGCCATCTTGGCACGAGAACATCAAGCTCAAGAACCCAAGTCTCGACTTATACTGGATCTCGAGGAGGGAGTACTGGTGTTGGAGGAAGTGAGTTTATTGAATATCAAGAAAAACAGTAATAGGTTAAAAACTTGTTGGCAGTAGCCTTTGTATCAGGCTTTCCAACAAAATCTTTTCGTTTCTTTCCATACTTTCATTGAAAAACAAATTCACCAATTAACATATGGTTTCTTCTAAATAAAAAGTGTTTATTGCTTAATTGCCGTCTTTTAAATCAATTTCAGTTCACTTTCAGTTCGTAAGTGAAAACACGTGTTTTTCTATAAAAACCTCTAGGAAGAAATTGGTTTAATGAATTTCTTTGAAAATTTAGCTATCTACCAAAATTTTTGTGCTCTATCATTTATCTATTGACATTAAGATAGATTTCCTTAGCTAAATTGTCTAAATCGCATCATCAAGCCGTCTTTTTGACTACCCGACTTCACACTCCCAGAAAAATCCAGACATAAGACATTTTAGATCCGTTTTAATGTTATTTTGTAGAAGGAAGTGAGTTGCAGAACAATATAACAAAAAAATCCCCAACAAGTCGGTTTTTAAGGTGGCCGAGTGTTGAAAATGGTGACCGAAATGGGTTCAACGGCGATGGCAACAACAGCTTTGTCGGACAAAGTCGCGAAGAGTTTCCTTGAGGCCACGGAGAAAGAGAAACAAGATCTGCAGGTGAGAAAGTTTAATACTGTAATTGGATTTCCTTTTAGTATAATAATAGATTTTTAATAAACTATCATTGCTTGAACTTTTACAATGCCTACAAAGCTTTCAGCACTTAAACGGCCGCCTTGAAAACTACATTGGTCGGGTGAAGAGATTGGAGGATCAAAATAGAAGACTCGTCGAAGAGCTGGATCAATTGCGCGGTCAATGGGGAAAAGACACCTCAGCTATCAAGGTATGAAGTCAATTTTTGAAAAAACCGGATAACCGGAACTGAATCCGGATAAACTGGATTCACAAACATACCTCAAGCTTTATAGTACCTCAAGGCTTGACTCCGCACCCAAAATTCTCTACAACTCACATTCCACACAAAAATCTTTGACTCGCGATAAAGAACTCATAATAAAATCCCAAAAGAAGCGATTTTCATGGAGGGAGAAAGTTGGAAAAAAGAGCTGGGGATGCCACTTGCTGATATGGGGATTGCAGGGAAAGCAAAGCCCTTTGTTTCAAACAAAAAGCATATGAATCTTCCGGAAAAACATCGATTTTGGATTTGATAAAAATAATAATAAAGTTGGATTTTAGGTGAAATATACTGATTCTCTGTCGAAAGCTCGAAAGGACATCGATGATGCGGCGAGACAGAAAGCCGAGATTGACGTGAAAGTGGCTCGTTTGAGAGACGATTTGGATGAATATAGAGGACGGTGAGGGAATGTTTGAAGTGGAGATCCTTTTGTAAGGATTAGAAATTCAAGTACTTGTAAAAACGAGATAGCGTTACTCCTTTGCTGAATAAGTGTAGAACTTTAGGGTAACTAAGCCACTCGGATCAAGCTCTGTAACGAAGTATAGCTACAGCAAACAGCTGTAGCGTACAGCAAACTCTGAAGTTTCTTAAGTATTAAGTCAACTTACAAAGATTTCTGAACTTTTGAAATCGAAATTTCAGATACGACGAGCTTCACAGTCGACAAGAAAGCGAAAAGGGGAAAGTACCAGCAATGGACAAGTGCGATTGCTGATGCACAAAATGAGCTTGAGATGCTTAGAGCCAGGTTTGAACTTTCCAAAACTATTTGAAATGAAAGCTAGATGAAAATGAAACAGTGCCGCTATAAATGAAACATTAGATACAAGCAGTTGAACGACGAAGAGAAACGACTCAACGGGGAAAATGCTCGACTCTGGGATGAAGTGCAGAAAGCGCACGCCGTAAGTGCTTTGGCAAGATTGTTTTTTACATTATTTCATGATTCTATAGTTCGCTTGTTGGTTTGAGTTAAAGCAAATGCTGAAAATTTAGGATTTGGACGAAGAAACGACTGGCCGAATCGGTTTCCAAGATCAAGTTCAGACTCTAATGGAAGAACTCGAGTTCCTTCGCAGGTTAGCTTTGTGATTTTGGTTAAAAACAAAGTTGGTGCAATTAATTTGTATTTTATTTTCAGAATTCACGAACAAGAGATCAAGGAATTGCAATTCTTGTTGTCCCAGGCTCCGGCGGAAACTCGGGAGTTCTTTAAGAACGAGTTGGCTTTGGCGATTCGGTATGTTTTTCAAAGAGTAGTCACAAGTTCGGAAAAATTTCTGATTTGATTAATCAGAATCAGTATCAGAATTAGAATCAGATCTGATCAGATTAATAATTTTGTAATTTCCGAAAGAATAGTAACTAACTTTTGCCAAAAATTCTTTTCAGTGACATCAAGGACGAGTACGAGTTCATCGCGACTCAAGGCAAACAAGATATGGAGAGCTGGTACAAGCTCAAGGTTTGTGCAATATTGAAATATGGATTCATGGGTCAGTTAGCCATGACAGTCCAGCACCAGTACTCCCTGCTCCAGATCCAAAGTCGAAACTTGGGTTCTTGAACTTGATGTTCTCGTGCCAAGCTAGTCAAGACAGTCTATCAGATAAAGTTGATGAAACTATTTTGTTGAGTACTATGCAATAGTGTCCTTTATTATCTTATAAAATCAATATCAAATCATCAAATAACTCAGACTTTAGAGGGTAGATCTAGAAATTTTGTATAAAAAGCTTTGCTTGAAGCCTTTTTCCGTTTGAGTTTTGGCGATTTAAGCCAAGCAGAAGTCATTGAACCAAAAATGATTTCAACCCGAAGTTACTATTGAGCACTTTCTTCCACAGGATCTACTTTGATGTCAACAGGAAAAAGAAAGAGCACAGAAAGTTAGGAATATAGTCAAAATCTTAGCTGAATCCATTTGACCATTCCCAACTTTGCAATTCTTTGAAAATCTAGAGAGAAAACAAAAATTTATGCTCAAATTTGTTTTGAAATGATCTCAGATTTGCTTGAAAAAAACTTAAAGTAATGATGAACATTCGGAAGCAAACCGGAGGTTATTTGATGATTTGATACTCATTTTATAATATAATGAAGGGAGGACTAGAATATATAGTAATAAATAGCTATATCCATTCCATTTAGGTCTCTGAAGTGCAATCGTCCGCAAACCGCGTGGTTTCCGAGGGCGGACATCAGCGCGAAGAGGTAAGTATCAGAAAGCAAAAAAAGAAGATAAAAGAAACAATAACTTTTTCAAATCTACGTCTCATTAGGTATCTCGAATGCGTCACAGTATGGCTGACATGCGCGGAAAACTCGGCGATTTGGAGGAGAAGAACGCTCGTCTTGAGAAAGAAGCACAAACGCTCCATAGTCAAGTGAGTTTTCTGAGCTTGGAGTTCTTAAAAGAAACCATAGTATTGTTTTGCATTTACCTATGCTTTAAAATAAGTTTTAAATTCATCTTTAGCTCGATGATGACCATCGTCAATACGAGGATGCCATCAATTATCGTGACAGAGAGTTGCGCCGACTGAGAGAAGAGTCACAAAGATTTCATATCGAGCTCCAGGTTTGTTTACAATGCTTTAAATTATGTATTTTTCTGTTTAATATGTTCATCCAAAGATTTATAGGAGTTGTTGGCTACCAAACAAATTCTGGACGCTGAGATTGCCATTTACAGAAAGATGATGGAGGGTGAGGAGAGCCGGTGAGTGCAAGTTTAAAATATTAGGATTTTAAAAGTTTTAAAATATTGCAACTTTAAAATATTATAATAGTCTTTTTGTTCCTTTTTATACTTCCATTGAAAAACAAAGTCATCAATTAACCTATGGTTTCCTCTAAATAAAAAGTGTTTTTTGTTTAATTGCCATCTTTTTAAGTCAATTTGGATTAACTTTCAGCGCAAATTCGAGAGTGAAAACGTGTTTTTCTATAAAAACCTCTACAAAGAAATTGAAATTGAAGAAATCAATTTCTCTGAAAATTTTGCTATATACCAAACTTTTTGTGCTCTATCTTTTATCTATTGGCACTAAGACAGGTTTTCTTAGCTAACATGTCTAAACCGTATCATCGAGCAGTCCTTTTTGACTACCCGACTTCACGCTCGCAAAAAAATTCAAACCCAAGACATTTTCAAACCCGTTCTATGTTATTTTGTAGAAAAATAATTGGTATTTTTAATGAAACAATCAGTAGTTCAATTAATTCATTCGTTGGTTTTAAAAGAAAGTACAGAAAGAAACGAAAAGTCTCATTCACCAACCTAATAGTAAAGGTATCTTTTAGATTTCAAGCGTTGTAAGCTAACTAGTTTAAGCTTTAGTTTAAGCTATTAAAAGATGCTATCATTTTCTTACTTGTAGAATTTCAGTGTTGGCATTTATGCTGAAAAAGTCGCTACGAGAAGCACTGTGGAGGAAAATGAGAGCCATAGCAGCAATGAGATCCGAACGACGACCCGCTTTCATCGGTTGGTTTAAGTTTGAGTACAAATTTAGCCAAATAAGCCTATCTTTTAGCCATCAATTTTAATTATTTTCAAGTTTATCACCAATTTCCAGATCAGCACACGGTAATGTAACATTCGGTGATTGCGACTGGCACGATGGTACCTTTATCTCCCTCCAAAACACTCATGGAAGCAAGGTTTGGGAAAGACTTTACAAAAATTGTTGATATTCTTAGGATGAAGACCTAAGTGGATACAAAGTGTCACGAAAATTGGATAACAATCAATACATCAACTATGTTCTTCCAGAAAATACTGTTCTCAAGGCTGGCAAGACGTTGAAGGTAGGGGATTGATCATAAAGAGTTTTTAAGGATGACAATGACACTTTTGTGACAGTATTGCCTGTAAAAATCTTTTAACTTTCAATATTTAGCTTTACGCTCGTGATCATGGACCCCATTCACCACCGAACTCCCTTGTGAATGCCGCTGATGAAACCTGGGGACTCGGCGCTAATGGTTTGTTGGAAAGAGAAATGATTATTGCAAGAATGGCATTTGGCTATCGAAAGAACTTTTTTGGGGATCTGATTTGAGATCGATTCTAATCTAGAAAAAACATCATCTAGATTGTTAACAGCTTGTAGAATTGATGGGGAATTACAGTCAAATTTAAGGCGAAAATTCTCCCAAAAATTTGGGCATATTGACGCCTAAGAAGTGGCAGGGTTTAGTCACTCATCGCTCCCATTATCATTCCAAAAGGGAAGCCTTCTATACCAGAGCGGTTTACCAGATGGAGAGCGGTTGTGGGCGCGCACAAAGAACACCTTAACAGTGATTTAATATAGAGATTTCTTTTTTGCTTTGTAAATGATCCTACAAGGAGATATTGAGCTGTAAATTTGCACCCTTGGATTTTCGGGGTCGGCAAATCGACTGAAAATGTTCTTGTTACCCTTTTACTTGCTCTAATAAGAGCGTTATAGGTTTTTAAGCACGCCGATTTTGATTTTGATTGAGAATCCTCCTTTAGTTGCTTTTCATTAAAAAAATTTCAGTTGTGACAACATTGTTTAACAAAGAAGGCGAGGAAAGGGCAACTCTTGCACAAAAAACCGCTTCCACTCAAACTCCTATCTAAATTTCAATACCTTTTTCCATTCCATTTCATTTTTATCTTTGCTTTATTTTACTAGCATCTGACAAACTCTAATATAAAACTGCCAATGAAAGTTTTTGCTCAATTATGTAATTCTAAGTTTTGATGAAACAAAAGTGCCTGAATAAAGCTTTTTATAAAAACGCATGCATGTTTAAAATTTCACTAGCATTGAGAATCAAACTTTGGCTTGAATTTTCAATAGCGTCAACCCTCGCTTTAGCTTAGGATTACTGGGTTTTCTAGGAAAGACTTTTTGGTCTTGTTGCCGTGTTTCGAAAGGTTACACTTATCAGCTGAAAAGGTGTGAAAACAGCCGAACTGCAACTAAAGTAAACAAAAAAGGTCAAAAGCTGATAAAATTTCCGATTTCTCTCAAGTTCTAGTGTTTCAGCTGACTATAATTTTCATCACAATGATCCGGCTTCTTCATATTTATGATTTGCCCTCGGATTTCGGTAAGCATAGTATCAAGATGATCAAAATGAATAGAATAATTGATAAACTTGAATAAGATAATTAAATTTGTCTATACAGGGTGTTCAACAATTATGTGAACCAGGGCCTTCCTTAATAATAATCAGTATACATCATAACAGTGATAGATTTTTTGGTGGTGTATGTTTTTTCTATTGTTTTATGTTCTGTTCACAAGATTTCCTTCACAATCTTTTTCCAAATTTAGAAAATGAAGAAATCCCAACATTGCAATTCAATCGTCAACTTGCATTTGAAAGGAATCCGGCAGTTCGAAATTTCACGCCGTTTGATGGTTGCAAAATAGCTTGTTTCTGTAATGATTAATCGCTACAAATCTTTGGGAACAAATCAAGATCGTTCAGGAAGGGGAAGTAAACTAACCGCGGTCACACCAGGGAACTTCAAGAGATTGCGAGAGCGCACCCTAACAAGGGTGCGCAATCTTAGCGCAAGTTCGCAAAAAGTTTAAAGATTTCTGTTGGTTCGATAAACACAATTATCAAAAAGCAACCCAAGATGAAAGCCTACAAATGAAAAGGGCAATTCCTCACTGCGACAGCCAAAAAAAGCGAGAAAACCGTGCTAATCAGTTGCTGATCCGTTTCAACGGAATTGATCATTGTAACATCATGTTCTCGGATGAAAAGATGCTCACAATTGAGCAATTTATCAACAAACAAAATGATATAACGTACTCGAAAGCCCAACCAAACGCAAAACCTTATCCAACGATCGACTCTCTGAAGAAAGCTCTACAGAAAGCGTGGGATGACTTAGATGTGACGTGACCTACCTGTCTGACGCGTTCCCTAAGCGATTTCAGGCTTGTGTTGCCGCCAATGGTGATCTTTCTGAGAATAAGTGATTCAACCTTGTTGAATCAGTTGTTATCAATAAAAAATTTACTATTTCGACTTTTTTTTTGTTTTTTGACGGTATAAGACCATCATATTTGTGAGTTTATATAATTGTTGAACACCCTGTATGTTACGTCTGACTTTGAAACCTTTTTAACAGAATAATGTTTTTGCATTAGAATCACTAGATTACTAAACAAATTATAATTTTTCCACAAGTTTCTTTAAAAATGAAAAAAAATGCATTACTTTTCGTAATGTTTTTGATAAACTATTGTTTGAAATTCGATTAATGAATGAAATGGACGTCATTTCGATAGTTTAAAGGTACTAAAATGCTGAAAAAGTCTAGAATTGTATTTGATTTGACTAGATTTGGTCGAAAAATGTAATAAAATTCTCTGTGAAATGACTTTTCTAGGTAAAAAGAGGTTTCGAAGGTAAAAGGTTTCAAAATCGGACGTAGCAAGATATAATCAGGCGTATGTAATCTATTAGGTTGTCCAGTTATGAATGCGCGCATGCTCTTGAACAGCGTACCTTAGGGCTATACAATTTTATCAAACCCTATTCTCTATATGCTGTTCAAGATTGCTTATTTATTACAACTTTTCGTGTTTTGGACGTTAAACTAATTGATTTTTGATTTAATTTCCGTGTTTAGATGACCGAGACGAAGTCTCGTCTTCGTGCCAGTTTTTGGTATGACTTCAAATTGGGCAAAAATGCCGTTGAATCCCATCGAGATCTCTGCAAAGTATTTGACGAAGATGCTATTTCGGAAAGCCAGTGGTTTCAACGATTTCGAGAAGGAAATGAATCTTTGGAAGACGAAGACCACCAACGACGACCTCCTGCGATCGATAATGCAGTACTGAAGCAGGCGATAGAAATGGATCCTCGACAAACTACACGTGAACTTGCAGAAATATTTAGAGTAAGCCCTCAAACAATTTCCGAGCATTTAAATCAATTGGGGAAAACAAGCCGACAAGGGAAATGGGTTCCTCATCTTCTCAGCAATGCCAATAAAGCTACTCGTATCACTATGACGGGTATTCTTCTTCGTTTGGCAAAAAATACTGGGTTTTACGATGAAATCCTTACTTGCGATGAAAAATGGATTCAATATGATAATTCTACACGAAAACCGCAATGGCTAGAACCTGGTGAGGAGCCAATACCAACACCAAAACCCGACTTCCATGACAAGAAAGTAATGCTTACTGTCTGGTGGAATTTCCAAGGCATTGTTTATTTTAAACTGCTTAAACCTGGACAAACAATCACGGGTGAAACGTATGCACAACAACTGGAACGAGTGAACAATGTATTGCTACAAAAAGGCCTTGATCCTTCAAACATAAAGTTCATTCAAGATAACACCCGTCCACACGTTGCAAAGATTGTTCAAGAAAAACTCGAAGAGTTGGACTAGGAAACTCTCCCGCATCCGCCATATTCTCTGGATATTTCTCTTTCGGATTACCATTTATTTCGCTCAATGCAAAACCATTTGGCCGGAAACAAGTTCAAAGAAGTTCAAGAGGTCGAAAAATGGATAGCTGACTTCCCTGCCTCAAAACAAGCCAATTTTTACGCGGAGGGATTTCATTCTTTGCATGGAAGATGGAAACAAATATTGTTAACAAATGGTGAATATATTGTTGAGTGAGCGGTTAAACTGTTGGTTTTAAGATAAAGAGTTGTTATCTTAAAAACGCGCATTTATAACTGGACAACCTAATATATGCTTGCAATTTAGATATTCAAAGCATTCAGATCCCAACAGAAGTATCTGCGGATCCAATTCTTCCATGAGAGGTGAAATCCCAAACACGTTCCCTCCAGACTTGTATCACTCCTGCGTAACTCATCATTTTCGAATAAAATTTAAAGCTGATTTAGCAAACGCAAAAGACGGATTGGGCTAAGAATGGGAAAACTCAAAAGGTATCGGTTAACTGTGTAAGCAATACAGTATCACTTTTCAGATCTTCTTGCTCATCTTCTCAACACTTTTCTGCCTCGAGGACATCACTTTTTGGTTCATCTACAATTTGAAAGAGATAGAAACGTAAAAATTAACTCTTAAGATTTTTAGATCCAAACTTTAGACCGTTAGAAGGAGTCTTCTCACAAAATCACTTTGAATTGGTTCATACAATTATTGGAACTGGGATCCCACTCACCTACATTCTTTTCAATTTGATTGGCATGCAAGCGGTGATCTTCAAGAAGCCAAGACTGTTGATTGCTTTTATGATTTACTTGGTTAGGTTTTGAAAAGCTAACTGGAAAGAGATCTTTGCCAGATACTTTTAAAATGTTTCTGGAATCAAATGCAGTCTTAACTAATTTTTTAATGGATTCAGTAGCACAAAAAACATTGATAAGGTTTACTTAATGTTCACAAGAAGTGGCAAAAAATTGACTTTAGATAATCGCGATTCTCTTGACTCTCGCTCATATGCTTCACCATATTTTCAACTCCTACCATCAACAATATCATGCCCTTTATGAGACAATGGTGAACACTGTGATGGAGTTATGCTGGATGAGCGCTATTCTTTACTTTGTCATGCAACACGTTCATTATTTGAATCTTTGTCATAAATGCTATTGATAACTTGGTTCTCGATCTCTCGAGAATTTCTTTGCTAATTTTATTGCATAACTTTTTACATTCACTGAACTGATTATCGAAACTGTACACGGTTTTCAAAAACGTAAAAGATATAAAACTTTAAAAACAATTATGCAGCAGAAGTTTAAAATAACATTTTCAAGAAAGTTTTAGAAGAAATCTTTGATCAACAAAATGTTAACGAAATGCAAAATTCGTCTAACCACTCAAAGAGTACAAAGCTTATCACCAGCATTTCTAACCTGGGAAACAATTACGAAAGTTTTGGCAAATATTTTTGTTTTTAAAATGCTTGACTTTTGTTTTAATCTCTAGCTAGTTCACTCATCAACCTTTTATTATCGCTTTCCTAAACTAATGAGCTCTATCAGTAGAAACAACGTGAATACGAATAGTTCAGGTAAGTTCTTTGTGATTTTTAAACATGAGGTCAACGTTATAATGCCGTACCTATATAAAATCTTATTCTTTTAATTATTAACATGTTTTTAAAGATTGTCACCAAATTCATTACCTTAAACTCTTCAACTTTTTAATCTATGAGATTAGAGCTGAGTTTTCTAAAAGAATGAATTAAGAAACAAGACCAAATTTCAGATATCCATTACATTGATGTTCCTTCAACAATCAACGTTGAAAACCCTGCTCAACAGCAAACGTCAGCTCTCAGGACCTACGATCATATCTGCGTATGGATTTTATAGAAACCTAATGCAAAATATTTAGAAATCTCAGCAATCAGCCTGGTTAAACATTCGAAATATCCATAAGGTTTCAAATATTTCAGTCAATAATGTAGATTATCAATTTCCAGGCATTTCTCATTTGTCTCTTATCTGCTTTGGTAATCGTCGAAACAATTTTCTGGTCTTGGCGTCATCCAGGAAAGGAACGGTTTGAAAAACTTTAATCGTAAAAAGTCGTTCAGCTATTTGCCGTATGGAAGTGATCCATTTAAAATTATCCAAACGTTGATAGCGAATATCGAATTTCTCACCTATCTCGTCTTTTGCTCTGTCGGCATTCATGCAATTCTCTTCAAACAGCGAACATTGACAATAGTTGTCACGGTTTATTTGGTGAGTTGACTTAATGATTAATATACTGACTTTATGTACTTTTAGTCAAACTATTTGAGTTCTAAGCATACCGTAAATACTGTAATAGTACTCCACCCCCATAATGACGGTGTGGAGTGTTGCGTAGTCTAGCTTTGAACGAGTTTTTCTCGACACTAGTTTATGCTACATTGTGTGTTTAGGTATCAAAAAATAGCCCTGAATCTCAGCTATTTTTTGATACCAAAGACGCATTTTTTGAAAGTACGGGCGCTTTGAAAAAAATGAAATATTAAACGACGCGACTGTACGAGGGGGGTGGGGTACTATTACAGTATTTACGGTAATTTATCTCAACTTCACAATTAAACATTTTAGGGTTTAATGTTCCTTCTAAATGTGACAGAGTCCGTATACAACCTCATTCATGATCCGTTTTCAAAAACGGTGATCGCTTTGATGGAAGGATTTTGGTTTCTCACGCTGTGCATTCTATTTCGTCTTCATCTCTATTATATGGATTTGTGCATGAAATGCTATTGATCTCCTACTGTCACTTGAGCCTTTTATTGACACTTTATTACTCAAGTCAAATCATTTGTCAATCAACTCATCCAATTCAGCTTGAAAATCTGTTTTTCTTTTAACCTTGTCGAATTCTTTATGCAATATACAAACTAGAATAGAAGCAGAAACAAATGATAGAAAATAGCAGAAAATAGTAGATAGCTTGTCGTTGACTCGGCTGTTGCAACTGCCTGAATGTGACCAAGTCATAGAGTTGGTCTTGTTCTACTCGAATGTGATCGAGACAATGTGAAACACTTTATACAGACGATTCAATGGAAATAAACAATAATTTAACCGACAAACGAGTTCACACCAACAGTTAACGAATCTTTTCACAGAGATCAATTTGTATTGCCATCAAAACTTGCACTGTTACTTTGTCATCGACACTTGATGAATCTAAATTTTAGCGTAATCAATGTACCTTGACCCTAACCCACTTCCAAATCACCATCAATTCGAATCTTGGTAATTTTATCTTTTGTTTGTGATCCATGTTTGAAGCTATTAAAAAGCTTTCCATTGAAGAAGATCCACAATTTGTCTTCGGAGTTGAGAACAGACAGATCAAAGCTGAAAAGTCAGCTGTGTTTTTGTAGTTTTCCAATTTAAACTCATGAAACCTACATTTTCCATCGCCGAATCGGAAACTCTCCATCTTTTTCAACTTTTTCTGTTACTCCATTGTTGTAGCTTGTCCGGATGATTGTTTTGTTGTAAAATTGAATGGTAAGCTGTAATATTAAATTTTTAACATTGAGACTTGAGACATTGAAATCAGATTTGGGACTTACCTGGAAAACCTTTTCGTTTTCTTTTGAAAGAAAGGTCACATCGAATCGCTCACCTGAAAGTGAAAATTGCTTGACTGAACTTGGAAGGCTTGGAAGTGAATTTACTCTTTAAATTGGCCTTACTCTTAATCAAAAACACATCAACTCACTTAGCGGTTTATTCCTATCTACACTCTTAATGTCCTCCATGAACTGTTTTCTTGTTGACTCTCCTCTCGATTGCTGATGGAAGTAATCACACGATTCACAGCATGATTCACAATACCATCGACATTTGTAGCAACTCGAGTGCGTTTTTGTCTCGCCTTTGTATCGGTAACTAAACCTTCTTACGGATTTTATGAAATGGAAGTGGATGGAAACTGAGCAGACAATCATGGATACTATAAAACCGTAAAATTACAGTACCACGTCTCATGAGCACGCTAGAACGGAGCTAACTATGCAACTATTGATCATATGTTTTACCTTTTTTAAAATATTATACCTGGTAGATGGAAGCATCCCTCCGACGAGATAACCCGCAGTATCGAAGAGAAAATTGTGCTCAAATGGTACAAACCCTAAATAAATTGTACAATACTATAACATATATAAATTTACTCCATAATGCTTCTAACAAACCTTGATAATCAAGATTGAGCAGCAAGGAGTCGCCGAGAAATGAATCAAACTCCTTTCTGCCCTCGGGATGACCATACCATTTTATCGGTTTCTTGAAAATGTCAAGAACGTCTCCGGGAGATCTGGCTTGTCTGAAAACAATCATAACTCATACAAGATGTTCAATATTTATGGAAACCATTAGATTACTAAGTTTAGGCCTCATTTTGTACAAGTTTTATGCTAAAAAGAAAACACACTTATCAATACGCCCAACGTTAACAACTTTAAGTTATTTTTTTCAAAATGATTGCCTTTTGCGCTGTGGTTTGCTTAGAAACACCTGTGGAAAGCGCCTTCTGGTATGGAGGTCAAATAAATTGAGTTTGTCACAAAATCCCGTCAAGCTTTCTTGTAAAAACCAAAACTGAAAGTGATTTTAACATTTTTAATGTCCCGTAGATTTGAAAACTATTAAATAGTAAAGAATTTCTCATCGTTAAACAAGAACAACTGGGATCTGACTCCTTTTGGTGATATTTGATGATCGAGTTCCGTTCAATCGACTTTGGGAATATCAAATTTAGTAAACTGAAAAATAATCTAGAAACTCGAGTTTGTTCCAACTCCTATGCAGCGCTTTCTTGACGTTTTTTTCATAAACCAATTTTGAGAGCAAGACGACCTGCGAGCTCAAGAGTCCCCATAAATATTGAACACACTGTAGATCATTCAATCCAACTTACCTAACAGCCTGCCTTTTCACTCGTCCATTCTTCAAGTCCTTTAAAAAGTCCTCGAGATCGATTTTCACATCAGGGTTCTTATTCTTTCCTGTAATCAATATTTTTGGTTGTAAACTTGAAAAAAAACTCACTTTCTAGCCGAGTGTCCTCAAATTTCTCGTTCTCAATTAGGAGCTTTTGCATTTTAGCTTCATCGAATACTAAAGTTATGATCATTGCTAGCAAGTACAGTTAGAATAGAGCTTCTTTTTTAAAGATTTTCTCTCAATTTCTTTCAGTTTGAATATCACATTAGCTATTAGGTTGAGTACTATTTGTTGGTATGGTATTTTTCTCTGTAGAAACAATTAGAGAAATTTAGTTACGATTTTCATCAAATAAAAGTTGTTCGTTATCTCATTTTACATCTTTTTAAACAAATTTGGATCCATTTTGAGGAATATTTAAGCAGAAATTCGTGTTTTTCGCTAGATTATCAAAAAATAAAAACGGTTTGACAAATTATGCTAAAATTTTGGTTATAAGCGTAACCTTTTGTGCTCTATTTTTTTGTTTTATGACACGAAAATAGATTTCTTTGGCTAAAAGTGCTCAAATTGTATCATTAAGTCTTTGATCCCTCAACTTCTTGCTCTCTGAAAACCCTCTGAAAAACGGAAGCATTTTCAAATACGTTAAAAGATACTACTTTAAAAGATCAATAGAGCTTTTAAATGGTAAAAACTGTAAGCTAAGTGAAGCACTAGTTAGAAGAGTAGCATTATGAAGAGCAGAGCATTATGAAGCCACATCAACACATAGTGCTCAACCAAATATAATAGTTCAAGTTTAAAACCAACCATTTGGAACCGGCAATCCGGAGATTTCCAAGCGATTACCCACTCCAAAGTTGAAATCTCCAGTGAAAGGGTTTGTGAAAGTTTGCCCTTCAAATCTAAAGGAATGATAAAATTTGAAACAAAAAGCTTCATGTTCTTCAGTCAACCTGAAAAGCTTCAATTCCTTTGTGTACTTGCTGCAGAATGTAATCTTTTTGATCTAAAGTATCTTAATTTTCATTGTCTTTATAAATTTTAACCTTTGCAAGCGAGTCCGGCTTGGGGTAGGTCCCAACTTCGCCTTGATTGAAGAAGATCTAGAGCAAGTTGTTCGCTTTGTCTTTGAAAAGATCATTCACCTGGATTTGTTTCTCGAGAAAACGAATCCGAATATCAAATTGGTTCGACTCCTAAATAGTAGAATTACTTGAAAATGCTTTACAAGTAAATGATACTTTTAGCGGACTGGGCAACGTGTCGTTCATCACGATTCCATTAAGGAATTTTACTTCATAGATAGCCGCTAAAATTGGTGTTGTGATAAGCTAATTCTTCTAGTTATATCAAATCAAGAAATTGTTGTAAATTACCTAAGGACACTTGATTTTTCCAAAAACTGTGCATTCTAGAGGTGATGGAAAGTGGTGTCAGTCCATTTTCCGACTCAAAGTTGAGCTTCAATCTGAATAGAGTTTTATTGAAGCTTTCTTCAAAGGAATCAACAACATCATCGAGCTAACTGTGATTGAACTTAATCGCTAAAAAATCAAAAGGATTAAGTTGCATGTTGATTAAGTTGAAGAATTTGCATTTTGGAATTGCATTTAGCATTTTACTGAAATTAGCATATAATAACGTGCTTTCCGTTGCCGAGTTTCTGGCCCGGAATCGGATCAGATTGGATCGGATCTGATCCGAAAATCGATCGTATCGGATTAGATCTCGATTCGAACCGATTTTATCCGATTCGATCCAAAACCACGTATACTTTTCACTATAAAATATCTATTCTTAGTGAACTCAAATCGAATGCAATTCTTAAACACTCACAGATGGTTTTCCGTTTTATTGTCACTGAATTCACCGGCGAGATGGAGAATCTCTCCGGTAAAAGACGAATTGAAGCCGGTGTTTTCTGTGCATCCATCGTTTCCAAGTCTCTGAAAACAAATATATTAAAAACTGTTATTAGTATTCATTTTAGATTAAACTCACCAAAAGCGATACAATATTTGCAGGAATATTGATAGATCGACTCACTTTTTCCACTCCTCCCAATAAATCAGAGGCAGAAAAGGAGTGAGCGACTAAAAATGGGTAAAATAGCAAAAAGATTTATCACTAACCTTGAACAAATAACAATAGAAATAGAATTTCTTGCATTTTGAATAGATTTGACAATGAAAATAAGCTCAATCAACGATTTTCTAATGTGTTTAAGTAGGAAATCGAAGCATGTTGATGATCTGTTGTTTCCAGGCCCGTTCATTACACATCCTTTCTCTAGATCACAAGATAGCCACAGGTGACTCATCAAAAAAAACAGGAAATGAAAAAGAAAAGAAAAATCCAGAGATGTTCGGCTAACAAGACCAGGCCTCACAAAATAAAAGATATTCAGCTTTTGAACCGAAAACCCGAACCTATTAGTTGACTACGAAAAGTTATCAAGAGTTGACAATGAAGCCTTGGCTTTGAAAAGTAAAATCTGGAAGTAGCTCAAAAACTGATCTAGATAGATCTTAAAATCCGTGGTAAAGTTAGTCAAGGCAAGCAAGATACTTGATTATTCCGATTGTCATGATATTGTCATGAGCTGGGGGGCTTTACATTGACTTTTTGATGTAACTGAATCATAGGATATATAGTCAGCCCTTTTCAACTTTGATCTAGTTCTGGCCCACCTGATAATTGATATACAAATGATCTGGTAATACATAATCATTCGGCCCACGTCGGCGCGAAAATGCGTTTTCAATACGATTTGGATGAGATGTGTGCCAATCGCCTCCAAAAATGTCCTGATTTCAAAAATCAACATGATTTTTAATTTCATACGACAGATTTTTTGAAATTGATGAACTACGAAAATTTAACACAGGGGTTTTCCTTTCGATTGATCCTGACGGCTTATTTTTTAATATTTCGCAAAACCGTGGATAACTTTTGTGAAGGTATCCAAGCGGGTCATTTTGAAATTAAAAGCAAAAAAATTGAACAAATTCGAGGAGAGTTATTTGATTTTGTAGAAGGCCTGAAAAAAGCTACCGTAATCGGCGTCAGCCTGCATTCTAAAAAGCGCTAAATCGGTTTTAAATACAAATTTGGCATTTTATGTAAATTTTAGCATAATTTTTAATGTTCCTTTTCGAAAGCATTTTTTTTACTTTCTGGCAAAAAGAAGTTTTTATTTATTTTAGATATATAAATACTTTATTCAGAAAGAAATAAAGTGTGAAAACGACATGAAAAATGTACTAGATAAAAGATCACAAAGTCACTTAAAATGCAACGAAATAGCCCTTTTAAAATCAGAGACGGTGGAGATATGAGGCGTAACTCTCGAAAGCAAAAAACTGCGAAAGCTCGTCAAGCAAAGCATTTCTATTTTCAAAAAATGTTTTCTATTTTTTTTACGAACTACGGTTTTCAATTGAATCAACATGCATTTACTAGTTTTTTTATTTTCTAAAGTTTATTTATGCCGGTAGCATAGAAGTCCGGGCTTCTGGTGGCGATAAAGTCGGCGAAGGCGTTTTTGGCATCGTCTTGAGTTTTGAAGCATTTCTCCCGGAGAAAGTTGTCGAGGTGCTTGAAAAAGTGGTAGTTGGTAGACGAAAGGTCCGGCGAATATGGTGGGCGAAGCAAAGTTTCGTAACTCAGTTCGTTCAGCTTTTGCAGGGTCGGTAATGCGAGCGTTGTCGTGGAGAAGAATTGAACCTTTTCTGTTGACCAATGCCGGGCACATTCGCCGCAATTTCTTGTGCATTTCGTCGATTTGTTGGCAGTACTTCGTAATCGTTTCGCCCGGATTCAGAAAGCTGTGATGGATGTGACCGACTGTGGACCACCAAACAGTCACCATAACCTTCTTTTGTTTTTGATTGAATTGATTGAATTGAAAAGATTGATTTTTAACGTCATTTCATCTTATTTTTTCACCATCAAAGTGCTGTTTTTTGAGTCAAATCCGTGTTCAATATTCAATATACATCACTACAATTATTATTAACCTAACACTTTGAAGCGGCTGAATTCGAGAAAATCACTTTTTTAGTGTTCCGTCTTGACGGTGACATTTTGCATGAATGGATCATTCTAAAAAACTAAACTCACATAAGAAACTCGTCTTCTTTTTAAAATTGAGCTTGTTTATAGCTGTTTATTTTTATTTGAAACTCAGATCATTATCTAAGAAGGTCAGTAAAAACTTGGTTGAAGGCACGAGACACAAAAATGCCTCGAGCACAGGAACGGCTTCAAATTTTAAAAATTTTTTATGAGAAACCTATTCTGATTTCTTGCTTGAATAATCTAGTAGAAAAAGCTATAAAAAATCAGTATAAGTTGACGATTTGGTTTTAGAGAAAACCAGTGTTCAAGGTAAGGTGGATGAGTTAGTCATCCGCCCTACATTGGAGCCAACAATGGGCCAACTTAATAATTAGCCCATTGTTGACTGAAGCCGGTCAAAATATATAGTCAACGGCCCTTTGTTTGCATTATTTTGCAAAGGTTGCGCATTTTTGATTTTTTTTTCTGGAATTCAAATAAAAATTGACAAACAATACAAACAGAGTTTGAAAATGGCAAACACAACGACTTTAGATGTTCTGTATCTAATTTTCGAAACGATAAATGTATTCGATTTCAAAATTTTCGAAATTGTTGAATAATTTCATTTCTGTTTGTGACGTGCGAAAATTCCTTTGTTTGTCAAATTCTTTTCCTCAATTCTTCAATAAAAGAAAACAAAAAAACGACATTTGTTTAGACTTCATTGACTTTTAAATTCACTAAAAGAATTTAAAAATAAATTTTATAAAGAAAAGGCTTCAGAGTTTCTTTATCGACACGCTTATTCATTCGAAAAGATGAAAATTTTGACCCTACTTCTCTTGGCTCTCCTCGTCATTAACTTGAAGGCCCATGTTTGTGATAGAGAATGGTACTGTGGATGGCTGAATGGATGGAGTTGTTATGGAGGAAGGTGCGTTACCTGGTTCTTCGGCATAAGTGGACATTGCGAGTGTGACGATTGATAAATGGATAATTGATAAATATCTTTGGATCTCAAAAAACAGACACATTTAATACATATAAAGTCCACCATTGGCATTGTATTTTTACAACTTGGCAACTTCGAAAGATTTGTTAGATTTTTTCTAATAAAAATAAACTTTCCAGAAAACTTTGTTTGTTTGTCAAATTCAGCAGTCTACGTAAATCAATTCCAGTTTTAACAATGACGTTATTATTAACGATTTAGTGAAATTTCAGGTTTTACTTGCTTTTGCAACCATCCTGTAAAATAAATAAAATGACGAGTCAGTAATTGCAATGAAATTCCAAGACGTGCCCCAAATCTCTATGTGGCTGCCGAGCCGAATCATTAGTCGTTTGGGGTTGCTGTGCACGAATTTGGAGGCATCTCTTGGTGTCGTTAAATCGAAAGTTTCGTTCACTTGCAAATTGTTGAATCGAGAGTTGAAAATACTTGATTGTTTTGAAAGAAAGTTAGGTTTATCTCCCAAATCCAGTCGCCTCATGGCCCTTTGTTCGGGTTTTGCCCTTTGTTCCTTTTAACGCATTGTTGACTAATGAAATTAACGTAAATAAAATCTTTCTTTTCGCTTTTATGTACTTTATCCTGAAAAGCACTCTGTGGGAACCCACAATCGCACACCTTCACCGCCGGTTTATTTACCCAATTTTAAGGTTTAAAGGAAATCCCTTTTTAACACTTATTCTACCACAGATTAATTTAAAATTTTCCCTGTAGTAAGTATTAAGTATTCTCAGTTAAATGCCAAAGTTAGAGCCAAATGCATGGTGGTAAGCGAATTTTACGGTAACATAAAGATCTAGTTTTTTGAGCTACTTGTTCTTAGCCAACACACCACAGAAAGCGCTCAAATTTAAAATATGATATCTTTCATTTCTCTACTATAACATAAAAATTTAAAAGAACTATGATGAAATGAAAGATATCGGTCATGGGAAAGTATGTAATATCAACAAAAAAACATCACAAAGTCTGCGCCGTTTTAATGTTGGAAATCGTCTCGACCATCCTTTTCCCGTTTCTCCGGCGTCGCGGCTCTTGAAGTAAAATGGCATATGAAAGACTGAAATGAAACAATTTTTGTCACTACTTGTAATTATCGATCATTACCATGAAACTAAACAACACAACTGCCAAAGAGCGGTGAAGATTATGAAAAACCATGGATTGCTGTTGAAAATCGTCATTGAACCAGTCACAGAGGCACCCAAAATGAGACCGGTGACCAAGTTGACCAGCATCTGAAATTCCGGTTTAAATTACTTGTTATTACTTTAACCCATTCGAAACCGGAGCGTTTTTTTTCGTCTGCGGACCGCGGACCGCGCCCTTTTTTGAAATTTTACCGCTGCAGCGGTCAATCCTTTGAATAATTTGGATTATTTGAATCATTTGAATCATTTGAATGTAGCTGTGCTTAATTCTTTAAGTTCGACTACAACAAATTGAGAGTTTATCGAACAGATTTGCACTTTAAGTTCTTCCCGAATGGGAACTTATTCGTGTCTTTGAACAATTCCTTTGAACAATTCCTTTGAAAGATTCCCTCCAACGTTGCAGCGTTTTTTTGCTGACATTTCATTTTATCTTATTTCTGATAGTTTTTATAGATTAATTTAAGTTCTTTTTTTCAGGTTATCGTCATAGATGACGAATTGACCGATTCTTTCAAGAATTTATTTATTAACAGTGATTTAGAGTCTGTTGATGGATCGGATGATGAACCAATTCAAGCAGATTTATTTTCATCAAGTTCAAGCGTCAAGTTTTTCATTACATTTTTCATTTTTTCATGTATCCATTACAGTTTGAATATACATGTAATGCCGAAAAACCGCAAAAAAAACCAATCGATTGAACGAAAATAGGTCAATAATGGCTGCAGCGGTCCGTTCCCGAGTTTTTGCTGCAGCGATTATTCGCTGCAGAAGTTTCGAATGAGTTAAAAATTAAAACCAATACTAAACAGTGATTTCGCATCACCTGAGCCGCCAAGCGATACTCCTTTTTGAGATTCTCAGCCTTGTAGTTACTCTGTGTTTGTTCTCGTTGAAAAACCCTCATTCGTTGTCTCATCAGAAAGAATACGGCAATGTCGAAGAAGGTACTGATCGGATAGTAAAAATAAGTGATAATTTGCTAAACTTAGATAGAAAATAAATAAGACTTTCTCACGTTTTGCACATGTAGAATCCGATAGCCACACGGGCCATCTCCGCTGAAAAGATTGCCACCTTCTCGTGGAAAGAAACCGGGATGACAGTCGGCTATAATAAAGAAATTCGAGCAGTAGCAAGCTGTTGTGTTCTAATCTTATTTAAAAACTTTTCAGTTTTCGCTGTATGCAAAAAAAATAAAGCAAATAGCTCCCCTTAATAGCTTATTACTTATAACGTAGACTCTTTTTGAAACTCACGAAGCGAAAAGAGAATTGCTGTGACCAGAGGATAGGCTATCATAATCAAATATTGTGGAATCTTTGTAGCTTCAAAGACTTTAAAGAATCGTCCACGAAAAGCAAGGGCACAAAAACGGTTGATACCAAGGAAAAGCTGAAATCTTGGCTTTGCTGCCTGCTTTTTCAAAAAATTCGATGCTTCAACTTCCTTTTAATTGAAATATTTTTTTCTACATCTTATAAAACAACAAACCTTTGGTGGAAAGCCTAACGAAATTGATGTAAAAGCTAGCATAGCAAAGAGATAATCGAGAAACGGAAGGGTTTCGTTGAGATTCCTGAAATTTAGTAGTACAGAGTGCGTGAAAATTTTTGAGTGCCCCTATAAGGCTTGTAGCTTTCTTGAAAACTTATCCAAGATGTTTTTGTGAATTATTTTCATTGTAAAACAATGAAAATAATTCACAAAAACATAAAAAAAGTGATTAAAACTCGGTTTGACCGAAGGTTTTGCTCGGATGCACTCGTGAAGACTACTTGGAAAAAAATTGATCGTCGGCAGGCAATCTTTATCAAAATCGCCTCAATCTTTCGATTAAAGCTGATAGAAAAATCACTTTAAATCTTTATTTCAGTGATATTTTCATAGTTTTTTGTTTTAATTTAGCAAAATAAGGCTTCTAAAGAGGCTAAAAAATTGAACAGAAGATTGCAGAGTTGCGCCGAGCGGTATGAGCGGGCGCCTAATGGAAGACGTATGAATTGGCCCCAAAATTTGAATCTTTTAAAAAAATTAATGATTATCTTTTTTATGTAAAATATCACTGAAATAAAGATTTAAAGTGATTTTCATATCAGCTTTAATCGAAAGATTTAGGCGATTTTGATGAAGATTGCCTGCAGCGCACAGTCTATTTTTTCCAACTCATCTTCCAATGCATCCGAGCAAAAGAAGGTTAAACCGAGTTTTATTAACTTTTTTTTGTTTGTGTGGATTATTTTCATGGTTTTACAATGAAATTTATCTTCGTGGATAAGTTTTCAAGAAAGCTACAAGCCTTATAGGGGCGCTCAATAATTTTCACGTATCTTGTACATGAGCAAACTGTTGCTGTTGGACTTTGAGAGTTACAAAACTGGTTTAATGTTAGCAATTCATTGGTAACTGGATGAGGTTACCTCAAACACTTTCAAACTCACCAAATCGCACAAGGCACTCCCCATAAAAGATGACACGAATTGATTATGGTTAGGTTGAGCAAATCGAGTACAATGTAATGTTTCACAAGATCTATGGTGGTTTGCTGATGTAACTTTTTAACCGTAAACCTCTCAGAAATGAGTTCTTCTGCACGACCACCAATCCCATAATTCCAACAGCAACACCAGTTAATCCTAGCTGAAATGAATGAATAATACTATCAACTAGTTTTCATTTACCATAGTCATCACAAAAGACTCTGTGTAGTTATCGAAGTCACTAACTGTTGCGTTTGTAGACATTTATGCTAAACTTAAGAGATTGCAAAGGGCTGGTGAGAACAGAGGTTCATAACACGGTTTTTCAAGTAAATGAAATAAAGAAAGAAACATAGATAACATATTAGATCAAAACACAAAGCAAAAACCTGGACGAGTGAAACATTGTTCATTTTACAAGCTGAAACACTAGCAGTATTTCCCTTATTAAAAAAAGTCAACAGACTGAAGTTTTCACAGATTGTATTCTTTGACAGAAAAGAACTTGAATTTGTTCGAAAAATGTCGTTTTTTCAAAGTATGGGAACGATCTCATGAACTTTCTGTTAACACAGTTGAACCGTCATCTTTTTTTAAAAGTGATTTCCTTGACATTGTATTCCATGAGAGAAATCCTGTTTTCCATGAGTTTTTTTTTCGTATTCTGTTCAATGGCTAAACTTTTTGGGTCCAAAGTTTTCTCGATTGATGTAGCGTTGTTCAGCCAGAAATAAAGCAAAAGAAAGATAAAGATTAAAGGAAAGCAAAGTTTAAAGTGTCTGAGGGAAGTGTAAAATCGAAAAATGTATATAGTTTGAGATGGGGCTCATAAATAGTGATAAGTTTTTGAGCCTTTCTGTTAAATATTCATTGTAAACTTTAAATATTTCTGTTAAATATTCATTAGTTTTAGATGGTAACCAGCATTTACCTGGAAGATGGGGAATACGATTGCTATAAAAAATAAAATGTACCACGTAACTGTAGCTTAGTCAATCAAAAAGAAATTGCTAAGAATTTTTTTCAGAGTATTCAGAACTTGCTAAGAAAAAAAATTGCAAATTGTAAGATCTGTAATTCTAGAGCTTTCCAGGTTTAGAGTTAGAGCCTTTAGTTCAAAATTTTAAATGCTTATTCCTTATCAGCTAAACAACTTTCTATCAACTTTGCTTTTTTGGAATCAATCCAGACTCATTCTTTACCTTTCTTTCCCTTTCCCTTTCATTTATTTTTTCATTTCTAGTGTTTTACATTAAAAAAACAAATTGCTTATCAAAATTTATTGCATTCGCACTGAATGGGTGCTCAAATTATGGCTTTTGATAGCCATGATTACATAAAAAAAGCTCATTTCAATAGTTATTGGATTGGATTGATCGATGAGTGTTTAGTAGACACGGCAAAGTTTGGGCAACTCGATGCGATCGGTGAGAGACATTGGAAGGGAACGGATCTGAAAAAATGAAGGAATTGAAGGAGATTGGATATTTGATAGGGAATAGGAATTGGAGTACTGTAGTGTCTATTGGAATTGTAATGCTCAAGCAGTTAAGCTCTTCAATCAACAACTTACAGACTGTGTCATGATCCTCAACTATTTAAGCACTCTTACTCGATCTAAAGTAGGCTAGCAGACTAACGTAGTAAGTCTCGGCAATCTTCAGCCCAATCTCCCCCATTTGTCTATCCTTTTCTCCCTTTTTTGTTCTTTTATTTTTGCCCTTCACACTCACCTCCTCCATGATCGACTCCTCTCCACGCTTAAGGCCGTTCACAATGCGACGAGTGCGGCGATCCGAGCGTGGAAGGCAAGCCAATTTCACCTTGCGGTTCTCGGTCTCAATGAGCTCATCTCCTGGCTGGCATTTGGGTTGTTCCTCCATCGAGAAGCAGGTCTTTCCCTCACGCTCAACCATCACGATCTCGTTTTCGGGCTCTGGAAATAGATGGAATGAGATGGAACAAGTGTGACTCAGACTAGTAGTTCAATGTCTAAGAATCACAGTTATTCTTAGAGTCAGACTATGCCCAATTCCCTCCGCTCAACCAACCGTAGGTGTTCTCCTCCTCGTTGCGGATGTTCTTGCGGCTGATGTGCTTCTTGAGGTTCTTCTTGAGCATTTTGCGTGATCGCTTCTCTCCCATGTTCTCCTCCTCGAAATCTTCACGGGGATTCCAGAAAGATTCCTCGGAATCGTAGCGTTCCTCCTCATCAGACTCAACTCCGTAGTTCTTCTTCTCCTTCAATTTCGACTCCTCGACCTCGCATTCGTTGTCACGGCGAAGCCACGAGCGGTGGAATTCCTCGATATCCTCTGAAAAGGATGGTTGATTAGAGAAATGATTTAAGAATTCAGATAATGAATCAGTGACGAATCTAAGCAATCACTTCTAGGCACTGCTAGTGAATCTAGACCACTAGCCCTAGCTTAACTTCTATCCTAACACCTTCAATCCATTCAGCTCCATCTCAGCTCAATTCCAATTCCTATCCAATTCCCATCCACTTTCTTTTCCACGCACCAGTCTCCTCGTTGTCGGCACGGCGGAACTCGTTGTCGCGGCGTCCATCGAAATGTCCGCAAAGTCCGCATTGGGTGTTCTCAGTGCGCTTGTCAGCCTTGATCTCGACCTTGTATCCATCGAAACGGATGGTCATCTTTGGGATGGTGATCTCGCATGATGATTCTCCTGAAAATCCATTGATCATTCAATTTCAACTCAAAACCAACCGATAAGCTTGATTCCCATATCGTAGAGAGCCTCCTCGTCCTCGACACGGCGTCCATCAACCTTGCAGACGATCTTCTCTTGCTTCAACTCGCACTCGATTTCCTTCTCTTGAGTCACAATCTTGAGCTTCTTCTCCTCAGAGTTCTTCTCCATGTTCTTCATCATCACAACGTATTCGGGCTCTTGAGAGCAATCCTTGGCAAGCACCGAATAGCAAGTGGTCAATGGGGTCTTGTAGAGAAGTCCATCAAAGGTCGACACCTTGTTTGAGGAAACCTCGCACTCGGAAGTTGGCATGAAGACCGAGGCCCACCAGCTCTTGTTGTTCAATCCCTTGAGGGAGACACCGCGAGATCCGAGGGACATCAATGGGATACGGATTGGGGAATAGGCCTCCTTGACGATGAGTTTCTCTCCATTGCACTCAACGGTGAAGTTGACGCGACGGCACTCCTCGGGCTCGACGACGGCCTCGATCTTGAAGCGGCGAGAGTCGGAGCTGATCGATTCGACTTGTCCAGACATGTAGAACTCGGACTTCAAGAGGTCGAAGAGACGACGGAAGACCAATTCGTTGTCCTTGGAGAGGTCCTTGTCGACGAGGACGACGTACTTGTTGAGCTTGGAAGCCTCGCGGAGCATGTCGTATTTCTCGAGTCCCTTGTTGCTCTCGTAGTCGATCTCCTTGACGAAACGGGCCATCTCTTGGGATTGAGTCTTCTGGAGACGGATGGTCATCTCGTTCTTGTCCTCAGATCCCCAACGACACTTGAGGGTTCCCTCGACTTCTTTGTGGCGCATCTCCTTCAACTCCTTGATGGTCTTGGGGGATTCGGGGAAGACGAGCTCTCCGCTCATTTGGAGTTCCCAGTCGCGGCGCTCCTTCTCGAGAAGTGGCGAGCGTTTGCATTGAAGATCGAAGCGGCACACCTTGATCTCCTCATCGCACGATCCTTTCACGGACATCTCTCCCTTGATGGTCTTTGGTCCTCCGATGGTGTAAAGACGGAAGTTGACGCGTCCCTCATGTCCCTTCAACGATTTCATCGACTCGTAGTGCTTCTTGGAGTGGGTGCGGCGAGAGACACGCTCATCAGCACGCTCCTCAGACTCGTCAGAGGTCTCCAAACCGAACTCCTTCTCAGTGAAGATCTCATCGTAGCGGGGTGACTCGTACTCGGATGAGGCCATCTTGGTGTACTTGGGCTCAACCTCGAGGACGATCTCCTTCACGGACTCGGCGGTGGGGACAAGGACAATCTGGAAATTAGAGTTTTTGCATCTAGAACTGTGTTTAGCTTAAGTCTTGTGTACTATTCAGAGCTTTCTAGATAGGGATCCTGTTATTCGATCAGTTTTTGATCAATTAAGCTCATCTTTTTCTAATCTAACTCTACTTGACTCAATCACCATCGTGCTAGAAGTTTTGCTTTGTCTATCTCATTGTCATCATTACCTGGACGTGGTTCTCTCCGAAGATGATCTTCCTGTCGAAGGCGTGGCGGTGGACGGATCCGATGACCTCAGTGCGGAGACCGAAGTGCTCCTCTCCGTAGGATTTCTCGTAGTGGACAGAGGTCTTCTCGAACGATGGAATACGGATGGTCTTCTCCTCAAGAACTGGCACTTGCTTGTTGTTGAATGAGCGGACGAAAGTGGTTGGGCGAGACTCGACGAGGAGAACACGTTTCTCCTCCTTGGGAAGACGGAGGACAGCCTTGAGTTGTTGTTTCTCATCGTTGTACTCGACTTGTCCGTGGATTGGAAGAGTTGATTGGATCGAGTGGAAGACACGGGATCCGATGTCCATCTCGGGGGAGAAGACGGTCATTTCGGTGACATGGGTGGAGACGAACGAGGGCTCCATCTCGACACGGAGAGACATCTTCGGGGAGATCTCAGCCTTGATGTGGGCCTTGATGTGGGCGACGGTTGGGAGCTTGGAGGTGACCTGGAAATTATAGGAATAGGTGGATTCAGATTAAATGTTGATTATTGATACCAAGAGATAAATTCGGACATAGGCAAAAGATTATAAGTCAATTCTTGGATATTATCGATCCGTAGTGAATTATGGTACCGGTAACTGACTATTAGGTCTAAGAATACTGTATCTAGGAACTCTAAAAGATTACTGTACCTGGAGTGGGAGTCCAAGGGTGGTTGGGACGATGCGGACGTGCTCGTAGACGTATCCAGAGAGAACTCCCTGGAAACGGAATCCCTTGGCGATCTTGCGGATCATCTCGGATGAAGAGATCGACGAATCAGAGCGGACGATCTTCTCAATGAGTTGCTCCTCAACGGGAAGGACAGCATAGTCCAAGTTCTTGTAGCGGATGTAGAGCATACCGAAGGCATCCTCTCCATTCTCGTTTTGGCGGGATTGGATCTTCATCTGACGAACGAGTTCCTTGAGGGCCTCACGGAGTGGAGCCTTGGAGGAAGAGCGTTGTCCGCGGAGAACGATCTCGGTCTCGGTTTTCTCGAGTTTCTTGAGGAGTGGGATGAGCACTTGATCGAGGTTATTTTGGAAGAGTCCAACTTGGACGAGGTGTTTGTTCCATTGTCCGGCAAAGACAGAGTCGACCGAGGCGAGAAGTTCGTGTGGGAGAACGGACTCGTTGGAGAAGACTGAGGCAACATCCATGGTCATTCCGAAGTCGAAGAGACGAGAGTACCATGGGAGATGGACATGGGTGGAGGTGGAGAGTGGAGAAGAGCGGAGCATGCGAAGAGAGACATTGATGTCCTCGGCGAGCTTGGTCTCACATGGGTTCTTCTTGGACTCGGAGAACGAGCGGAGAAGAGAGACTCCGAAAGAGCGGAGTTGGGTGGATGGCTCGATGTTGAGTTGGTGAACGATTTGATCGAGAAGGGAACGCTCGGGGCGGGAGTGGACAAGTTGGTAGAGGGCCGAGACGCGGAGTGGGACTGGCTCGCGAAGAGATTTGAAGAGGGGAAGGCACACCGATTGCACCTTGCGGGGCATCTGGTCGCGGAGCTGGAATTTGTGTGTAAGTACAATCCTTAGATGTTGAATTGATAAGTGTTTTCGTTTAATAGGTCAAGATTAGACTACTAGAATTGAACTAGAGTTTGAGCTGTCATCCAGAATCAGAGGCTAATTTTGATCTAGACTTTCAATCTGCCAAAAGTTATTCTAGATTTTAAGGGACTAGAGGCTTCTTAGAGTAGCTCTTTTTTAAAGTTGGTTAGTTTCTGATTATCTTCTGATTGGTTAGCTCTTCTAATTGTCAAACCCACCATGCGAAGAGAGTCAACGGCGGCTTGGCGGACAACGAGTGGTTGACGACGATCATAGATGACCTTCTCAAGGAAATGAATGGAGACATCAAGGGCAGAGTTGGCAACAGCCTTGAGGACGAGGACCTTCTCGTAACGGGAAGTGGCCGATTCGAAGAGAGCTTCCCATTCCTTCAACCATTCAGTCTTGAGCTCACGACGGCATTCCTTCTCTCCTTCGATTTCGATGGCCCACGATTCCTTGGTGATCTCCTTCTTTGAGCAGACACCGTTCATCAAAGCTCCGGTGGTGAGGAGGACGGATTGGCGGAGAATTGGCTCCTCACGGCAAACCTTGGACTTGACCAAACGCAAGAGTGAGTTGACAATGTTCTCGGATGGAACACGGGTGTTCACGAGTCCCTTGATGACGATAGCGGCACGGATTGGGGAGATTTCCTTCTTCTCGCATTTCTCAACAAAGTGCTCAATGGTGACCTTGGTTCCGGCAGCAATGAGAGCATCGGTGAGGAACTCGCGAACCTTCTCGATCTTCTCAGCATAGACTTCGGTTTCCCAGAAGTGGCGGTGGATCTCTTGCACCTCACGCTCAGTGCACATGCGGAAGACCTCGACGATGCGGGCAAAGTTGTGGTTTGTCTCAAGGGTGACTCCGTCTTTCTCGGACTCCTCCATCGAGGCAAGGGTGAGGCGGATGTACTTGTCCATGAGCTCCTTCTTGGGGACTCCGGCGAATCCGGTGAGTGTGTAGGATTGCTCGTCTCCGTTCATCCAGAACTTCTCACGGGCCAATTCCATCTCGTAGTTGTAGAGAAGGGAAGACTTCTTTCCGTTGCGGGGCTCCTCAACACGCTCAGCCGACTTGATGTTGACAAGGCGCATCTTTTGGTGGACGTAGGTGGCGAGCATCTCTTGATCCTTCGAGAAGGGGGAGAAGACGTACCTGGAAAAGAAATGGATCAATGGTGGATGATCAGTGTGGGAAACCCTAGATTAGATCAATCCCAAATACTCACTCGGACTTGAGCTCGACCTCGGTGATAAGGAAACGCTCCTCATCCTCTCCGCGAACCTTGTAGCTGATGACAGTTTGAGATTCAGGGCGAGCATCGGTGGCCTCACACATGGAGCACTCTGGAAAAGGAGTATTGAATAAGGAGATAATTGGTGAATATCCATTTCTTGATTAACACAAACCAGCGGAGTAACGGGGTCCATAGCGGATATCAATACGCTTGGGGCATTTCTCGAAGTTGAGCGACTTGGTGATCTCTTTCTCCTCGCGGTTCTTCTCCGATTCGACGATTGTGTAGGCGACCTCGCACTCACCCTCGAGGGTGCGCTGAAAAGGGTGAACTTGGGTTTGAGGGCTAGTTCAAGAATGTTTTAGATCAGACTCTAGGTGCTTGATTATCTAGAAATACTGTAATCTTGTGTATCCAGGTAAGAATCTAGCAAAGTACTAGTCTATTTCGGGCTGTGATTGGAGATTTATCAAGTGAAAAGGCTCGATTAGATCGGAACTTTCTATCAAATCGTTCTATTAATCTCATTTTCCATCCTCATCCAAATCTACCTCGGTGACGGTGAAGAACTTGTTGTTGGAGACGGTCTTCGTGTTGTACTCCTCTTGGGTCTTGCGTGGGCTCATTTGAACTTGGAGCATGTTGAGAATGGAGCGCTTGATGTTCTCCGACCAGGCGGATTCCTCCTCCGAGAAGACGATCTGAAGAAGGGAATGATTGGAATGGAAAGGATTAGGATTCGAATCTTTTGGCCAAATCTCACCTCAGAGATGATTCCTTGGTGGTAACGGAAGCGGATTGGAAGCTTGATCTGCTCGCGTTGCTCGGAGGTCAATTGCGACTCCTCGAGCGACACCTGGAAATGGGGACCATCATTGGGAAAGATACTCAGTTATTGTAGAGATTAGAAATCAATTGTAGATCTCTAATCTATTTCCCCATCTCTTTCTTTCCCATTTCCCCACCTCAGAGATGATGCGTGGCTCGGTGAGCTGCTTGTGGCCATTGGTAAGCTTGACATTGTCGAGACGGAGAATCGAGTGTTTCTCGTTGACAGTGATGAAGACTTTTGAGTGGATTTGTTGAAGGGAATGAGACGAGGATCCTTTCACGGGCACGCCCGAGACGATCTGCAAATTGAGATGGAAATGAATGATGCTGAGGAAATCGAGTCATTTGGGAGGTTCTCAAAGAAGCGGCTCAAAAACTGTTCAAAAACTTTTAAAGTATCGACTACAGTACTCCTATATATACAGTACCCAATTCTAGGTCCTGTTCCAATCCAATCCACCAACCTGTCTTTTCTCTCTAGGTACCCAATATAGTACCGCTTCTTATATCCTATTTAAGTGATCCCTATCGACTAAACTGTCCTTCCCCATTACAGTCTCTCTTACCATACTCCCCGATCCTACCTCTTTCCTACAGTATTCTCTCAAATACGAACCTGTCCCTTCCACTCGAACTCGTAGGTGTTTCCCTTGTTGAACGATCGTTCTTCCCATTGACGGGAGGACGCAGCGAGGGCGATGGCCAAAAGGCCGAATGCAGCCAGCAGTTTCATCTCTCTGAGGAAGAGACAAAGGGCTCTGACCGAACTGGTACCGAAACACTCTATTCAACCGACATTTATACTCATTTCAGATCAAATCTCGAGACATGTCCATCTTTCTTATCATTACTTGATCCCAATTTCCCAAGACTTTCGGCAATTCCTGAAGGTGACAACTGAGTGACAGGTTTTAAAAAAAGGCAATTCGCGGTGGTGAGGAGAGTTCTTTTCGAAATTTTCAATAGTTTTTTTTGATTCGGTAAGTTTTTGAAACAAGAATTTTGGAAAACTGATTCATTTTTAATTTGTTTTTTTTTTTTTTTTTTTTTTTTTTTTTTTTTGAAGACAAACAAATTTTTTTTGAACATTCGACAAATTCGCCGATTATGATGATGGAAAAACCTGGTTATAATAATTTTGTAATAAAAAGTGTTTCAAAATCCATTACTGAAGCCATTTAGCTTTTTGGAATGGAAACAGATTCTGAATGTAGTTAGATTTTGGGCATTTTGAAGAATTCTTTCATTTAGAACACCAATTTTGTTATTACTTTTTCAGGGGTGAATCGTTTTTGTGGCTTTGTTTCCCGCTTTGAGATTTTTGACAAATACTTCAATATTCTTACTAAAGTTCAAGTACTTCATTCAGCAGTTTTCGAAAACTTGATATTCTTTTTGAATCATTGCCTTGGGTTGTTAGAAAAGAAGAATTTTGAAAGAACTAGTGCACAATGGTTTTCTGAGATGAGACTAAAGCGGATTATAGCCTGGCTTGAATTTTAAGTTTCTCAAAAGAAAAACATTTCATTTATGTTTGAAGCTTTTGTTAGAGTAACCCTGGAGCTATGAGAATCAAATAACAGTAATTGAACTTCAAAAATTATTAGTTATCTAGTTCAGGACGTGTTCAATTCCATTCGTATCCATAGTATCCACTTTCCTCATCCCATTTCTACTAAAATCCCTATTACCCAGTCTACCGGATCCTTATTTACCTCCGTATTTACTCTAATAGAAGAAACACAACTAATAAAATGCACTAATTTGCCCGTGCTACCGTATCTGCTTTTAAATTTTCTACCAAAATCATTACCCATTAACATTTTTTTAATCATTCTACTTGGCTATATTTACCTACATTTTAAACTAGATATTTAGGTAAAATTGTAACTAGGTTGTAACGTAGTAACCTAGTAAAAAAATTGTAACCTAGAAACTACCTACCTAGTTACAATTTTTATCTTCTCTATGTTTTTTTATAAAATGCCATAAAAATGTGCTTTTTTAGGTTTTGTAATCGATTGCCGATTCGCTCGGAGTCAGTCGAGGAGTATCGGATTCTTCGCGAACTCGCCGACCCCGAGAATTTCGTGGAAAATCGAGAGCATAAGGAGAATGCAAATGTGGTGCCGAAAAAGATTCAAATCTCGAGAATCTGCGGATGTTTTCGATCAGGAGCTTAAAAGGGAAGAAACTAAAAGCTTATACGATCGATTTCAAGCTGAAGGCAATCGAGTATGCCAGAAAGATTTCAAGAAACGATGCGAGGAAGAAGTTTTTTCAGTTTTGGGTAACCCGAGCTATGATTCAAAAATGGATGTCACAAAAAGGGACATCGCGGAAGATGAAATCGTTTAGAAGAGTAAAAGGCTGAGAGAGAAATCTGACGGACAAGCAGCTCGATCTTGAACTGGACGAAGGGGTGAAAGCGAGAGATCGTTGAAAAATAAAGTTTTAAGAAGACTGATTCAAGAGAAAGCGAAGAATTTGTGCAAGCAAAATGACATCAAGTTCTACTCTTCAAACAAAACGACTGAAACGACGAAATGATTGCCGAATTGATGAACGAAATTGACCTGGGTGAAGACAAGGAAAACAAGAACTACGAGGTGATGCCTTAATTGAAGTCGCCGACTCTAACAGCAGGATACTGTTTGTTTGATGTCTTATGATTGTTTTTGTTACCTAATTGTTAATTTATTGTTATTTGTACGTTAAATAAATTGACTTTAGAAAGACGGCTTTCGTAATAAATCATGTTAAAAGAATCCAACAGAGCAAATGATTTTTACCGCAAAAAATAAGTTTAAGAAATTGGCGGAGCCATTTATTTCATTGATTTTGGAAAGCGTTGGAAAAACAGAAGAATAGAAGTTTCTAATAGAAGAAATTTTGAAGAAGATAGAATAGAAAACATAAAAACAGAAAACTCTAATAGAAGAAGATAGAAGAACATGCTCTTCTATTAGAGTATAGACGGTGATTATCATCTTATTCTGATTACTAGTCAAGCAGTAAATTGAACAAGATCAAAATTAAGTTTAGCTGACAATATCAAAAGAAAGATTGTGATAGTTCTCCAAGTTATTCACTTTAGCTATCGTGCTAACCATGACAAACGTTCAAAGATTTAAACAAATCCCTTTCAACGAACAGTTTCCTTTCATTTTCGACACAATGCCGTTAGACTCTGATCTACTTGATTTCTTAATTCTTTTGTAGTTTCTTCAATTTGTTAAACGTACTAATAATCAGACTTTTCACTGAACCAATCAGCATTTTTAGAAAACGAATCCCTAGAGAATCAGGCAGACTTTTTAGAACAAAAAGAGCCTTTTAGAATTTGGTTGTCAGCGTCATTTGTATCTAAAAATACATTGCGAAACATAAAAGATAAAATCTTGACATTGATTGAAACAAAATCTTTATTGAAAATGCTTGGCCTATTGAACTATTGAATTCTTATGTGAGAAATGCTTGGCCATCTGAATTCCAGTCATTTTGTTGTGCTATTTTCTTCTTCGGGCTCGATATTAGCAAATCTTGGGCTAATTTTTCTTATAGCAAAATATAGGTAACAAGAACTTGAAAACTTAAGATAAAAACCCATTTCAGTCGTCCTGAATTTGGTTTCTACAAATATTTGATGATGCTTTTTGCGACTTTCAATGTGATTTTCCCTCTTTTTCATCTCATTCTAATGCCGGTAACTTTAAAAATAATCTCTAATGGGAAGAATGCACTAGTTACCTTTTAAAGCTAACTAGTGCATTCTTCTCAACCAATCCGTTTTCTAAAAGACACTTTTTCCATAAAACTATCGTATTCCAAGTGTCAGCTTTCATTGAAAATTGAAGTCTGCGACTCTAACAGCAGGATACTGTTTGTTTGATGTCTTATGATTGTTTTTGTTACCTAATTGTCTCTATTTTGGTATGATTCGATGAGGATTCATAAGGCTCAATCAATGACACCAAAATCAACGTGATCGACCGTAAACTGACAATTTGATTAGCTTTCTAAAATAGCTTTCTGAAATACAATAGATGCTTTTTAGAAAACGAACTCATTCTTTTAGGGCCTTCATGTTTATGGCTACGCTTTCGCTTTCTTCATCGCAACTCCTTTAGCCACACACATTAGCCAGAAAGTCGGAGAGGTTGAGTCCAACAATTTATAGAAAAACAACCCTTTCTCAGTGCCTTCTTCTATATTGGTGTATCCTATACAACAAACAGCTTGCACTCATCGTTTTTCACTTTCTCTATCGATATATTGTTGTCTGCAGGCAAGTTAAATGCTTAAAGTTTTTCTACCAAAATCCTTTAGATTTCATCTGATTCCCTTATTCAAAAAGTGGTCGATCCGAGCTCTTCTAATCTTGTTCTTTGTTGCGGATATATCCATTTGGACCTGGTTTTTTGAGAGTCAAACTTGGGCGTTGAATGCGAATCGAGTACGTCCTTTGTTAAGGGTCAAAAACTATTAAGATTTAGGTCTCAAAAAAGTTTTAAAAACATGTAGTTAATTATGCTAGACAAGCTAAAATGCCAACTAAGAGTTGTGGAGGTAAATTACCGTAAAAACTCTAATAGAAGCCCACCACTCTGACCCCTTGAAATATTGACTTTTGTCCAATCATGTGATGGGACAAAAGATCTGAGAGAGAAAGTATAGAAAGAAAGATCGATAGAAAGATATAGAAAGATCTGAGCATAAAAGTGATGAATTTGGAATCAGCAGTAAAATTTATACCACCATTTTCGAAAAATTTAAAAATTTAATGTGGGGGAGCACAGGAATTCTTGTCGGGAAATTTTCTATGAGGCCCGGGTAAGAAAATTATTTATTATTATATGCGTTTTTTGTACGTTTTAGACCAAGGGCTATTACGTAAAGTGATTTTTATAAAAAATAAATTTCCGATTCATGTGCGAGACGTTACCTACTTTTTCTGCTGGCTGATTTTGAAAAAAATACAAGCCTATGTGCTTCTATTAGAGTTTTTACAGTATCTGAACCTTGGACTTGACTGGCCCATAAAAGGCTCTCGAGTTTATCAGTTTCTGTTAACATTTGCAAGCTTTGGCCTGGCCTGTCTTGATTTATAAGCCTAATTTGGCTGTATTTTCGATTAAAACATTCCTGACTGGCATAGAGCTAATCAAAAAATTAATCAAAATTTAGTGGTATCTAAAAGAAGAGTTCTCAAAAGTCTACGGGATTGACACGGAAAAAGCTTCCATCTATGGACCTTTGTTTAAGGTAAAAATCTTACATTTAATCTTATTTCTTAAAGCAGCTTCATTGAAAACAAATATTTCAGCTAAATGACACGAATGGGCACTGGAAATACTTACCTTACAATGTCGTTTGCTATACGGTGCTCATGGCTCTTGTTGCTTACAAATTTATCATAATGGTAGGTCCTTTGTGTCAATTTTTAAACTTTTATAGGCTTTAACATGCAATTATTAACTAGAAAAAACTAGAAATGACAACTTACTGTCAGAATTTTCCAGGTTTGGTTCACTGTCAACATTCACAACGCTCTGAAATACTGTGTATTAAGCCGTCGAGCCAAGCAGCTTCAATACGATCTCTTTCGTGCACTTATTGGACAGGTAATTAAGTTTTTGCTTAGAAATCCAATCTATAGCTTATAATAAAGTTTAAAGTTCATTCTTTTCAGACAATCTGTCCCTTTATACTTGCGGGAGTTCCATGTTTTCT